ACGTTGGATATCTAGGCATTGTTTGTCTTTCAGATATGCGGCATCCACTATCTGTGGTTTAAGAGCCCAAGCTGGTACTGGAATGGGCCTTGTTTTCTACGCCAATCTCAGATTCCAGGAGTTCTGTTATGAGGAATCTTCTGTGAAAGGGCGCGAGAGGTGTATCAGGAGCCAGAAGGTCCCCCGTTAGAGACCATCTGGTCTAAGTTGCGGTCACTTCTGTAATGTAGGCAGCATAAGCGATGCGCAACAATAAGCCATAGAGTTGTCTTTTTATCAGTGGAACATAAAGTTGCGAGTGACTTCTGGTCACCTAACCAGTATCTGCGCTGACAGTTCACGGAGAATGACGTGGGAGTTATGAGACCATCCCAGGACTAGGAAACAAGCAAAGCTTACAAGAGTTTATGTGGAGATTGACCCCTGTGGTCTCAATCCGCAGGGTAGGATGGAGTTGACCCAAGTATGAAGCTGCTGGAAAGGATATAAAGTCAAAGGGAGACATATTTTGAACACAAGGCAGCTAGGCTGATGCTTCTAGCAAGATATCAAAGGGAAAAGGAAGGAAGGAGGATGACTTCTTTCTGGAGTGCAGGCATCTGGACAGAGAGACTTGGTGAAAAGTGCCCAGTGCATCTGTTTGGCTCTGAAATATGGCATGTCCCTTTTGTAGCAGGAGGGCTACCCCATACTTCTATTTTGTTTTAGTGATTTCTAGAGTGGATTGGTATCCTCTGAACGTTGCCAGGTGCCCCCTGACCTGCTGAGTGGCAGGAGAATCTGGTCTGAGATTGTAACTTACCACTTAGGGTTCACCCAGGTGAGGAGATTAAGGAGGTGGTTAAGAGTGTGTGCTCTGAGGTAGACTGCCTTGAATTAAGTCCAAAGTCCGGGACATACCATTGAGTGATGCTGGGTAAGTCATTTAGTCTCAGAACTTTAATGTTCTCATCTGCCAAATGGATGTATTACCTGTCTCATAGGATTGTTGTGAAGATTAAACAGGATAATGTGCTTATGGTTCCTAGTATGTGTTGGGCACATTCTCGATACTTAACAAATGTTACCCATTACTGGTTTTAAAGGGAATGGTTTAGTGTTGACTGTATCCTGGATAGTTCTTCTATGTTTCTGAAATTAAGAAGGACACAGAGAACTTAAAGAGAAGCCAAGGGGGAGAAAAGCAGGCGCAATTATAGGAAGAAAGTACCATAGAGGGAGAAATTGTAGGGCAGACCAGAGAGACAAAAGCTGTTCAGATCCTCAGCTGTGCTGAGAACTGCATAAGAAGAAAAGTTCCAACTACAGCATATGGGATTTGGGTTAGACTTACAGGAGAAATTTCCTGGCACTGAAAGGTATCAAATATTACTAGACAAAGAGTTTTTCCTATCTTCTGGGGTTGTTTGGTCAGCCATTCCTAGAGTGAGAGAGGTGGATGAGATGCCAAGAATCTGGCCCCATGAGTCTCTGGTTCTCAATTCTGAGAATCAAAAGCAGCAAAGTGGTCTGGATGTAGGATCCAGATGCTCCTAAAAGCTGTTTTTGGCAGAGGTCCTCAGATACGTCTGATTCATTGAACTATCTTGTCCTGTTAACACATAGCACTTGACAGAGGGGGGCAAGTAAGATTGTCAGCAGTCTTGGTGTTTCCTCCAAAGAGATGATCAAGAGGCATTTTTCATTGGACCTTTAAGGCCAGCATGATCAAGGCATTGTCATCTGTTGTCTGCTCGCTGACCATATTCCCCCAGAAACCCATGAGCCCACTCTGAGCCACAGCTTACGAGAGCAGGAGAGGACTGGCTGTCCCTGGGCAAGAAGTCAAATGGGCCTGTGAGGGAAGCTCTTCCTGAATCCACACAGATATGAGCTTTAGCGTATGAACTCTGAGTTTGATCAGGCATTAGGGCAGACCCCACTCTGAAGATCAGGGCGAATAACTAATACTCTCCAGGGACCCCTGCCTCCGTGATGAAAGAGGGTGTCCTATGATAAGATGAGACAGTCATCTGCCACCATTTAGAGTTTCATCTAGTAATCACTGTTGTCTTAGAGTTTTCCTGTCTCTACTTCTGCAGGGAAGGAAATTAGGCACCCTCTTTGAGACCAGTGGCTCTCAAAGCCACCAGCTATATTATCCTTCCTAAATTTTCATATGAGTTCCTCCTGCTGCAATTGACTATATTTCTTCATAACCTTTCCTTTAGGGCCATCCATCTCATTCCTTAATGATATCGTGTCCCCCAAATCTTCTTCAAGTTTCCATGCCTTTAAGAATCCAACTGAGGTGCCTTCAGAGCTGCTGAATTCCCTCCTCAGCTTCTTTTTCTCCACCTTGGGCCTGAGTTTTTTAATAGCCACTGAGGAGAGATGGGATCTTAGCTGAGATAGTGAGAATAGTAAAACATAGTGGAAGAGTTTCACCAGAGCACCTCACCAAGGCAAAAATATCTTTCTCCTTTACCTCTTTTGCCCTTGAGTTTTCTTTGGTTTGAATAAGAAAGATATTCCTGAAGCTGACTGTCAGAAGTAGGAACAAGTGGGATGCCCATCTTTAGACAGAGAGGCAATGTAGAGTGGGTGGAAAGCACAAGTTTTTGGTGCTAAATGGCACGTAATCAAAAACATAACTAGCTTATAACCTTGGGCAAGTCTGTTGACTTCACTGAGCCTCAGTTGCCTCTGCTGAAAATGGGGATACAACCCTCCAGGTTTGCTGTGAGGATTAAGCATAAATGGTGGTGTGGTTGGAGCTGTCAGCACAGTGCATGGTCCCTAGCAAACGTTCACTGAATGATGGCCCTGATTATGACCTCTGGCTTTTAGGATGCTCTTCCCTTTTTTTGAACTTTGGCTTTTTTCCAGTAGCTTCTCTTTCTTTAGGATAATTCTATTGTTGCTAGCCCACATCCTACAAACGCAATATTGCTATAACCTTTTTATAGTGACAGTTACAGCATGTCAAGGCACCCACAGCGGGACTCTGTGCTAAATTTTCCTCCTTCCCGTCATTATTGCTTTGCTGGGTTGTGTGTGCTCGTGGTGTCACATGTTATGGTGTAAATTAAATGTCCATAGGGTCACAGATTGGTTTCTGCAGATTTCGTCCCGGTGTGGAAGGAGTATGACTGAGCTGGGATCTCTTCCACATAATCCCAGGGTTCCCAGCTCTCGACGGATTCACCAACCTGACAACAGAGCCTTCTGCCCTAGAATCTCCTTTCCTCATAGTGCCCCTGTGTCTTGGTTGTTTTGGTGATTCCGTGACGGTGGGCGGGAGGAAGCTGTTGGTGTCAGGCTTCCTTGGTACTGAGAATTGGATGCTACAAGAGTTATACATATAGATGATAACCAATTAACCACATAATGGATTAACCCCTTCAGTAGTCACTATTGTAATGTGTGTGCTGGTGGGACAGATGAGGCATCTACAGAAAGAGAAATAATATGAGTTAAATTGCTGCCTTATTTTTTGTTCTCTTCTTCCCCTTCAATCCATTCCCCTCATAAACCTTTGTTGAGCATTTGCTGTATACTGTGTATTGTGCCATCAGCCTAGTTACCCTCTGCACATGTTTCATCCTTTCTTCTTTTGACAAAAAGATAAAATAGAAGCAAACTCTATGAATTGCACTCCACTGGTACCAAGGGAGAGAGTTGAGTGCCCCAGAACAGGAGCCCCACTGGTGCAGCCAGGCCCCAGCGAACCCAGCAAGCTCCTTTAGGAAGCACCAGTTACATGGGGATAAAGTGCCCCCGCACTCTGTCCTCACTCTACCAGCACCGATTCACCCATTAAACCCTGGACAACCGTCTTCATCCTCACCCCAGGCGTCTCTGAGGCCTCCCAGCTCCTGGCAGCCCTGCCTTCCCTCCACCTCTCCCTTGTCCAGCTGAGTCTAAGACTCCATTAAACCCATGGGTGGACTCAGCTTCTATTTTTGTTTTTAGCCATTCTTGTGTATGATCGTACACCTTGGCCAGGGGGTACTTCCTCCAGTTTCCTTTTTGCCTTGGGGTTTCCGGATGGAAAATTCTTATTCTTTTCCCTTCCATCTTACCCATTCCCCTAGAGCTATACGAAGAGCTCTGGGGGAAGAGGTGAGGCTCAGGGAACGTGGGATTCACTCTGTCATGGTGGATCCATGCTGGCACAACCCTTCTACAGAGAAACAACCATCCTGAAAATGCCAATCTCTGCGAGCCACCTGGCCTTCAAGACCAGTATGAATCTCATTGATTTCAGACCCATGACTGTTCCGGCCTAGTTGAATTATAGATCACCTCCTCCAACTTGGCAGCCACTTTTCTCTCACCCCCTCCCCAAGCAACTCACATGTAATTACTATTCCCCTCCCTAGCCATCTTCCCAAGTCATTAGTGAGGAGGCAGAATGGTCTTGGCCCCAGAGTGATTTCCTGTCATCTCTGCTCATTAATTCTCTCCATGTCTTTGCTAAGCCATTAATAACTCCCCCTGCATTTCTGATTGTTTGTGCAGGCTTTGTGACTCCATCCCAGCACCTTGTTTTCAGGGTCCCAAAGAGCAGGTTGTCTGTCCTGTGGCCCCAGTACATGCCTTCTCTGCTTCCAGATCCCTGCCTGGGGAGAAGGACCGCTGCTGAGATGGCCTGCTCTGGGGGCCACACAGTGGCCTCTGGGATCCCAACACAAGCTGCTCGGGAGTAGATCTCGCACTGCTCAGACAGCCCCTCCCCGTTTCAGGGAAGGGGAGATTCCCTGAACCTGAGGGAAGCTGGGCTCCTCCAGGCAGATCCTTTCAGAACCTAGAGCTCCTCTCCCTCATGCTGGTGGGGCTAAGGAGCCCTGAGCTTCCTAACACACCTCACTTAATGAGGCCCAAGTCCTTGGGGTGGTTTCATCTGGGAGGATCCGGCAGGGGCGGTGATGCCATTTCTTTCTAGCCTGACAGTATTGGCCTAGCGGGGTCTGCCTTCTGGAAGGAGGCTCACAGGAGTTTGTTCTCTCCTGTTTCAGCCCGAGGAGTTGCAGAAAGAACACCCAGCTTCATGTATCCCCAGGGCACTGCGAGCAGCCAGATGGTGCTTCGTGGCATGGACCTCCTGCTGGAATGCATCGCCTCCGGGGTGTATGTGCAGTTTGCAGCCCCTCTTCTAGCCACCCTCCAGGAGGATGGGGATGGGAGCTTGTTCATGATCTTGTTAATGCCACATTTAGTGCATACCAGTAGCACAGCGTAAAGAGAAGCAAACAGGCCCTAGTGAGCAGGGTGTTGCAAACCATAGTCATCTCCATCCCATTCTGGCCATCTCTGTTTTGGATAATGAGGAAAGGTGATTAGGCATCCCGTATATGCGTTAGAATCTCGCGGGACGTTAGCTAAACCTTCAGGTTCTCTGTGGCTGAGCATCCTCCTCTGTACAGGAAAGATCAGCTCTTAGAGGACATGCATCCCCTGGGCCCAAGTATACTTTTAGGCCACCTGGGTGTCCCCAGCTCTATAGAAGAGGAGAAGGGCCATGTTTAGTGATAACTTCTTTGTTTCCTGCTTGGCGCCTCTCCTAGCCCAACACCAGACATCGCGTGGTACAAGAAAGGTGGGGACCTCCCATCTGACAAGGCCAAGTTTGAGAACTTTAATAAGGCCCTGCGTATCACCAATGTCTCTGAGGAAGACTCCGGGGAATATTTCTGCCTGGCCTCCAACAAGATGGGCAGCATCCGGCACACGATCTCGGTGAGAGTAAAGGGTACGTTGTGTGTATTTCTCATTCTGATTATTTTGCCAACCCTGAACACCATGCCCACCCTTCCCTCTGAGGGTGGTTGGGGACAGAGTGAGTGGGGGAGACTTCCAGCCCACTGGCCAGTGGCTATGGCGATCTGCTATGGATAGTGTCACTCACTGGACGCGAGAGGGTGTGTGCATGCCCGTGCATGGGGCAGAGGGTATTAAGGGAAGGAGATCCACCCTGACCATCACCCAACTCTCCTTGGTGCCAACGCTCCCTCAGCAGGTGAATTTCCTCCCACGGCCCATTTGAATCATTCCCAGAGCCGCCTTTTTTCCTTTCGTTTTGCATTCCCGTTCGTGATGTGTCGCGTGAGCCCGTGCTGTCTGTGTACCTGTGCATGATGCTGTGCTGCTTTTTAAAACTGGGGAGTGCTTATGGCCAAAATTATTTTTTAAAATCCCTTCCTAACCCCCAAAGCAAAGAGGGCCCACCTGAGTGATTGCAGGCACCAGAGCGCATGTCGCCATGGGTCCCAGCCATGTGTGGCAGGCTGCACTGGTCACTGTTTGGCCTGGGACTGCACGGATGGTTGAGATGATGATGTCCGTGACCAGAGTACAGGAACTTTCTTAGCACATGGTCGATTGATCTTGTGACCTTGGTTTCAGCACCATACACAAATTAGGGAGTTCTTAGACTTTAGGGGGTGGGGGTTGGGTATCAAGATCTTTAAGAATCTGATCTGAAAGGCTCACTTCTCAGAAAAACCCACATTTCCACATATTCACAAAATTGTCCAATCAATTGAATGAGGTGGCCAGCTAAGAACTGCTCTAGCCAGGTGCGGTGCTTCACATCTGTAATCCCAGCACTTTGGGAGGCCGAGGCGGGCAGATCACGAGATCAGGAGATCAAGCCCATCCTGGCCAACATGGTGAAACCCCATCTCTACTAAAATTACAAAAATTAGCTGGGCATGGTAGGGTGTGCCTGTAATCCCAACTACTCGGAAGACTGAGGCAGGAGAATTGCTTGAACCTGGGAGGTGGAGGTTGCAGTGAGCCGAGATCGCGCCCCTGCACTCCAGCCTGGGAGACAGAGCGAGACTCCATCTAAAAAAAAAGAAAAAACTACTCTAACCAAAGTTCCGTGCATAAAGGAATGAATGTAAGACTTTTCCTAAAGGGTCTGATCTTGCAAAACACAGATCCAGAGGGACCAGCACAGTGCCCGCTTTACCACCTTCCCTGGCGGTGGAGCCATCGGATGCACACCGCAGACACTAGTGACCTCGAAAAGCATTTGCACCCAGGCCTCCTGTGAGGATTCTGATTTAGTAGGTCTGAGACAGGTCCTAGTGTCCCTTTTTTTAAAAAAGCTCTTCAGGGGATTCTAATGAGCAGCCCCAGTTTAGAACTATTGTTCTGTGAACTCAAAATAGACAGATCAGCATCTGTGCAGCCAAGCCAGCCAGATACAGGCTGGACCAAGTTATCCCTGTGAGGACAAGCCCTGGGGCAGGTGGTGAGCGCCTGGTGCTGGGACTCAGGGGCTCCTGCCACACTAGAGGGAGACTGCTTGGTTTCTTCTGCCTGTCCCATGCCATCTAACTCCCCTGCCTGTGCCTGTCTTGTCTTCCAGCTGCTCCCTACTGGCTGGATGAACCCAAGAACCTTATCCTGGCTCCTGGCGAGGATGGGAGACTGGTGTGTCGAGCCAACGGAAACCCCAAACCCACTGTCCAGTGGATGGTGAATGGGGAACCTTTGCAATGTAAGTAGCGAGCTGTTGTCCTATCTGACTCTCATCTCTCTCCTATCAAAGGCTTCAGATTCCTGTCACTATGCCAGCGTTGGTCACACTAGAAGTTCAGGAAAAGAGAAGCCCACTGGTGGCTGCTTCTCAGTTGCCCATCTTTTTGGACATCCCGAGAAACCTACTCTCTCTTTGTGTTACAGAACAGGAAGCCTGGATCTCTGTGGTCATATTCCCATGCTTAAGGGATTTCTGCTGTCTTGGGGTTTTTTAAATCTCTGCTTTCTTCCCCTGAAGAAGCCCAGTTGATGACCTGGGGACTGTGGCTGCATCTCTTGGAAGTTGGGCTCTGAGTGACAGCTGGGGCTTGGAAGGTAGAGGAGAGTTCAGTAACCCCATTGTTGGTTACTCAAGTTCTGCTCTCTGCTGAGGGTGAAAGAAGAAGCAGGGTTGCACAATGATGTGAAATATTATGGTTAGATATGAGGAAGAACTGCCCCAGAAGAGCAGATGCACAGGTGCAGTTTATTGAGTAAGCTTAGACTTTGGGGACATTTAGTCCTGCCCAGGTGGGTGGAGTAGATGACTCCAAGGCCCCTTATAATCAGTGGCCTTGGTCAAGTTTTCACGTCAGACTCTCTGGTTGCATTTACTTTTCCAAATGTCCTGTCCTTACTTTCTCTAAGTGGTCAGAGGAAATGTAAACAATGGTGTCAGCCAAATGGGGAAAACGTAGATGGCAAGAACTCAGAATCTAACTCAAGAACAGCAGCTGGTAGAAGCAAGTGGAGAAGGGAGGACACAGGTAGAGGAGAGGGTAAGAATTTACCTTTTTAGATATTTATTGTGTGCCACATTCTGTGCTAGATGCTGCACCCCTGTTGTTGCTTACTCTCAAACATTTAAGGTGAGGAAATAAGGTTCTCGTCAGTGCAGTGAGTTGTCCAAAATCGCATGGCTAGGAAGTGGTGAAGCCCTGGGTTGCCGTGAGTCTGCAATACAACTGCACCAGCTAGTACTGAACCTAGTTATCCCCAGTAAATGTTACTCCCCCAGCTACAAGCAGAGATATGAACACTGCCTGCCTTCTGCAGTTCTCTCCATCTTAATAGGACTTTGGGGGTAAGGCAGGCAATTGTGCTAAACTTTATAGCACCATTCAATAAAGGCAGCCCAGGACTTGCAACTGAGCCTCAGCCCTGGAAAGGTCACCTGTCACTCTCCCCAGGGAACATGTAAGGGGAGTGACTGGGAGGAAAATTGGTTGCACGAGAATTTGCCAGGCAAGGAGATGTACAAGTTGCTGGCACTGCCTTCCTTGGTCCCTTTTCACTGACCGGTGACCCGGGCATGGATGATAAGAATGCTAACCTTGTCTTCCTTTCCCATCTGCTGATTCCCCGGTTCTGGGCTCAGACTGGCTATCTGTGGAGTGGCGCCTGCAGGGCGACTCCTGCATCCTCCGCTGACTTCCCCTGCAGGTCTGAGTGATCTTGAATGCGTTTTGTAAGCTAAGTCATCAGCTTCCTAGTCCAGAAATCTTAGGAAGAAAGTCACTTTCTAGTGGTTAAAGATGAGAAAAGTGGCAATTCTTTACATTTCTAGAAAATGTTTGGTTTTACACCTCATCGTTGTTCTCTTATCTTAGCCTTCCTTAGAGTAGGGGAAAGTGGAAGTGATTCTTCCCATCTTACAGATGAAGGAAATGAGGCCCGGAAAGGTTTGTTGATTTACCCCAGATCCCAGAGTGAAGTGTGGGCAGAACAAAGACCCCTAGCCCCTCCAGCCTCTGCTCTCTGCATCCCAAGCCAGCAGTACTAGAACTGTGGGCAAGAATATTCTCTCTCAGTTTAGGACACATTTTTGGGGAGGAGCTGTGAGCTTAGGCAAATATAAGGACTCACGCCATTTTCAAGAGGTATTGGCTTATGGGTTTAACTTTGTGAATGTTTGGAGCATGCTCTCTTTAGAGGATGGGAGGGTGGTAGGTTCTGTCTATTGTATATTGCTTTGTCCTTTTCAAAACACATTTAAATATATGCACACTTGATTCAAATGGTAATAACAGTATGTGTTAGACCTTCTGTTCATCACTTTGTATATGCATAAAATCTCAGGTTATCGTCACAAAAACCCCAAGAGGTGATCTGTTATTCCCATTCTGCAGACAAGGAAACTGAAGCTCACAGAGATTGAGTGATGCTGGTAGTAAGTGATGTGGTTAGAACCCAAACTGCTTTCTGTTTCCAAAGCTAATGCTTTCAACCACACCTGCCCAATGGGTATGTAGGTTGAACAAGAATTCATATTCCATACTCTAGACTAGATTAGAAATAAACCCCACAGGTTCAGAGAAGGGCTGAAGGTCACACACAGCCCAGCAGTGGCGAGGCCAGAAGCCCTGTCATCTGGTGCTCCCCACAGCACCCCAGTTGTTCCTGGGAGCCCTGGCCAGAGCCCCAAGTGCCCTTCACCCTGCCCTTCCTATCTCTCATCAGGAACATCTCTTTCTTGTCTGTAGCGGCACCACCGAACCCAAACCGTGAGGTGGCCGGAGACACCATCATCTTCCGGGACACCCAGATCAGCAGCAGGGCCGTGTACCAGTGCAACACCTCCAACGAGCATGGCTACCTGCTGGCCAATGCCTTCGTCAGTGTGCTGGGTGAGTGTGCCCTTCGCAGCCTGTCTCCCCCTCCTCCCTACTACTGTGCAGTCTCCCCCGGGCTTGGTTATGTCATGGGGCATACTTTCTTCTCTGGGGATTGGCCAAGCTGGGTGAGGTAAGAAGATGGTGGAGAGTGGAAACATGGAGACGGGAAAAATTTTGTAAGAGGGATGGAGGACTTAAAATTCACAAAGCTGGATAAGTAGACAGTTAATTCCATCAGAGCAGTCAATCTTAGTCTTCTCCCTCCCCTGATGAGATAGAGTGGGACTGTCCCATCTCCTTGCTGTATCCATGTCGACTTCCCCTGGGTTTGCAGCTGGATCTCACAGTGGGAAATGGTTCCGAGTATATTTGCTGCACCCCTTGGGCAGGGAGAGGGTGGTGGGAGGGGTAGCTAGGAAATGCCTTAGGGCTGTGGTGGGGCAGCTACAGGACCTGCTGGATAATTTGGGGAGACCCTTTGCAAAAGCTGGATTTCAATGTAGGGTAGGTTGAGGGCAGAGGAAGGAGTAAGGTTCTCCTTCCCCACCTCATCCCTAGGGGCTTCCTGAAGGAGGGAAGTTTGATAGGGGAAGGTGCCTCAGTGCTTGGGAAGCTGCTGTAAGTAGAAGGCATGCAGAAGTGAGACTGAGGGGGAAGAAATGGAAGAGTTAGACTCAGTACTCGAGATCGGTTGTCTGGGAATTTCAGATGTCCCGCCTCGGATGCTGTCGCCTCGGAACCAACTCATTCGAGTGATTCTTTACAACCGGACGCGGCTGGACTGCCCTTTCTTTGGGTCTCCCATCCCCACTCTGCGATGGTAAGTTCCAGGAGACCAGGCCTTCCACAGCAGGAGTCACTTGTCTCATCTTCTCCTTCCCATCTGGCCCATAGTAGGTGTTCAGCAAGACCTAGGAATCTTAAAGAGTCAAAGCTGGGAAGAAGGTGGCAGATCATCTGGATCAACCCCTTCATTGTACAGAATGGGAAACCGAGACCTAGAGAGGGATGGAGGCTTGCCAGGGCCACCTGGTGGTTAGAGGCAGACCCTCTGAGGCTCAGGGCTCCAGACTCCTAGCATGGGGCTCCTTCCACAGCCCCCACGGTCTCTCTTGATTGGCTGCTGCCCCTGCCCCTGCCCTTGGGCTGGTCCTGTCTCAGGATGCTGTGTGTTCTGCTGCTCTGTTGTGAGGTTTAAGAATGGGCAAGGAAGCAACCTGGATGGTGGCAACTACCATGTTTATGAGAATGGCAGTCTGGAAATTAAGATGATCCGCAAAGAGGACCAGGGCATCTACACCTGTGTCGCCACCAACATCCTGGGCAAAGCTGAAAACCAAGTCCGCCTGGAGGTCAAAGGTAAAGGAGAGGGTTCGCCAGTGGGAGTTTGGAAACGGGCGAGGAGGCCCTGCTCGCAGTCATCCACATGCAATATTCACGTTGAAAATGCACCACACCTATCTTTAACTTGGAATGGGCTCCCCAGTGTGCACCTGTGGAGTCCATTTAGGATCCATGTGGTCCAAAGAGAATTAGGGAAGGGAAACCTTCTGCTCACACCAACTCCCCACTACCACCCCAGAAATTACATCATATATTCCTGAGCCAGATGGAGAGGATTTGGGGCATTACCTGCTTTTGGGATTACCCACCCAGAACTCTGCTCCATTCATACCACAGCATACTGTTTGTGCCCCACTCCATAGTTGGCCTGAGGCCTCAAGGGCAGGCATATGCCACTGTTTGGCCGCATGGGGATGCTGGGCAGAGAACAGGCCAGTGGCGAGTGCTCTGGGCTTCTCCACAGACCCCACCAGGATCTACCGGATGCCTGAGGACCAGGTGGCCAAAAGGGGCACCACGGTGCAGCTGGAGTGTCGGGTGAAGCATGACCCCTCCCTGAAACTCACCGTCTCCTGGCTGAAGGATGACGAGCCGCTCTATATTGGAAACAGGTTTCTCTTCCTCCCTTCCCGCTTCCTAGTGCTAGTCTGAGGCACATTTTCTTTTTCTTGCTGTTGGTGACACATGGAAGAACACAGGGACAGGGAACCCGTGTCATGCATGTCACCAAGGAGCTACTGCAGAGGGGGTGATGGCCTTGGCGACTCCCCCACTTCAGGGGAGACCCCCTCCCCAACCCTGCACAACCTCCCTCTCTCCCACCAGCTCCCTGCTTCTCTCTCCTACACCTCCTCTCTCTCCCTTTTTTCAATCTCTTCACTTCTCCTCTCTCTCTCTCCCCTCACTCCTCCTCTTTTCCCTTTCCTTTTTGTCTTCTCTTTTGCTCCTCCTCTGCATCCCAGGCTCCAGCCTTTCAGCCCTATTTGCAGTACCCCTAATCTTCAGCAGAGGGCAGGGTTGATCTGAGCCAGCTCTCAGTTCTTAGACTGAAGCTGGAATGCTTTTACTACACCCATGCCTGCCCCTCTCCTCAGATCCTGATTTCACTGGTTAGGGTAGGACTTAGGACACTGGCAGTGTTTAAAAGTCCCCCTGGGGGTTCCAGTGTGCATCAGGGTTGAGAACCACTGTTCCAAGCCTCCCTCCCCAGGGCTCACTTTGCTTTACCTTCTTCCATCTCGGGGGAGCAAAGTTGTGCAGGGCCCTGCAGTTGGACATGGTACCAGTGGTTTCTAGCCATCATTTGACTCTTTGCAGAGGGTGTCCCCCTCTGCAAACCTTCTGGCACTCGGTGCTGACAGCTCTACAGCCCCATCCTGCTCTGCGGCCTCCCCTCTCTATGGGAGACAGTTCCGAGGAGCCAGGGGTCAGGCTGGCCTGAGCCTGGGTGCAGAGGAGACAACTCTGGGCTGAAGACAGATAAAGCTATAAGTATGAGAAGAGAAGGAATGCCAACCTGCCTTTGGGGTCATGGGCCTCATGGTGCCCTAACCTGGGAGGGGGGCACAGCACAGTAAAGGCACAGGGGCAGGCACACGTATGGCATTGGAAGGTGAAAAACGTGATTCACGGCCACTTGAGCTCCACTCACTCTCTGTTCCCCTCCATTAAGTATGATGAATGCTCCAGGTGACCGTGAAGACTTGGCCTCTGTCAAAGCATTGAGAGGGAGCCTCATATCCCCCAGAAGGAACTTCCCTTGCCCTCCTGACTTGAGAGCCCCCTCTGGGGAGAAAGCAGTGGGCAGCCCTGAGCACTTCCCTAACCTCTCCTCCGAACCCTTCTTTGGTACCTTTGTAGGATGAAGAAGGAAGATGACTCCCTGACCATCTTTGGTGTGGCAGAGCGGGACCAGGGCAGTTACACGTGTGTTGCCAGCACCGAGCTAGACCAAGACCTGGCCAAGGCCTACCTCACTGTGCTAGGTAACTGCCGCTGCTCACCCTGGCACTGACCAGCCCCACCCCCTCCCCAGCAGCCAGAGAAGCAGTGGCCCAGGACAGTTCTGAGGGCAATGCCTGCAGTCAAGTGGGCAGGTCAGGCGTGGTGATCTCTTCTTGCCTTTTGATGTCAGGGTTAGGGAGCTGCCAGTTTTAGAACAAGCTGTGCAGGACAGGTTACCTCCTGAGTGGAGTGTGACTTCTCCACGTCTCAACTGAAAGGGACCTGAGTGATACAGAGAAAGTGGAGAAGGGTTTCTTGTTGTGATCATTGTACCTTCCTTACAGCTAACTCCACCACTAAGTCAATTAAAACAATCCCTCCTTAAAGCAAGACTGAGTTTGTGTTTGTGCTTCCAATGACCTCCGCCAGCCTTCCTTTCCCTCCCGCCCCATTCCTGGGTTTTGGTGGCGTTTCATCGTGTGCTATGCACTGAGCAAGATGATGCCGTGTCTTCCTGGCCTGCACCCAGGCTGGACTGTAAATACTAAGCTAACCCAAACCAAGAGGAAGGAGGCCTCTCCCTTCCAGGGAAGCAGGTCCTCTGTCACCTCTGCCTCCCTGTGGGTGCCCTACTGCCACTAGCGTTGGTGCAGTGGAGAGGCACAGTTGCAGGGAGCGTGGGCCCAGGCACGAGAGTCACATTGGGATGGGAAGGAAACAGAGGTGCCACCCCCAGACGTGGAGGAAACACAGATGGCCTCTATAAGGGTAGGGGATTCCCCATGGAAGGACGCGGAAAGCCCTGCCTAGAACACCTCAGCCCAGGGGCAGCTGTCTAAGCCTCAGCTGCCTACCCCCATCCTTCTAGAACACCTTTAACCCTGGATAACCTGCTAACCTGGGTAACCCGTCTTACCTTTGCAGCTGATCAGGCCACTCCAACTAACCGTTTGGCTGCCCTGCCCAAAGGTAATTCCCACTAATCACAGTCCCCTGCCAGTGCCCTCTCTTGGCACCCCGGGTGTGGAGTCTGGGAGAAGGAAGCCGCTTTGGGAAAGGGTGACAGTGTATAGGTTTGTGGGCAGCACTCCTGGCTACATGGGACCTCCTTTCAGTTGCCCACATCCACCTCCCCAAGCCCAGGGCACAGCCCTATGCTGGGCTTCCTGCTCCCTACAGGGTGAGCGCGGAAGTTCTCGGCTGCTGTTTCACCCCATCCCTTGCCTCCAGCCACACTCACTGCTCCCTCAGGGTGGCCTGTCCTCCCAGCAGTCTTTCAGGTCCTGTTTGCAGGGAATGCGAAAGCCTGCTCCCTTCACATCACCTGGAAACTCGTTGTTCAGCCTCCCTGCATCTGCTGCTTTCTATCCATTTATAATCTACGCACACATGCCACACACGCACGAACATGGGCCTGTGGGACTTGCCTTCCAGGTCCTTATAGTGACCATCTGAAAGATGGAAATCTGGTTCAGGGAGTCGAGATGGAGAGAAAATCTTGCCTACCCCTACCACTCAGTCACCGGATGTCTTTATCCCAGGCCAGGATGGCACTTAAACCCACTAAAGCAGTCCCAGTGAGATTCGTGCCCCCAAAAAGGTGCTGCCCTCACCCCTGTTTGCAAGCCTGCTGGGCCCCTCTGTCCTGCTGTCCATCAGGGAAATTCCGAGACCAAGTCTCCATCTCCTCCCTGGTCTGGTCCCCTCTCTTTGTCACCCCTACTCCTCTAACCCATCTGCCCTGTTCAGCAGGCTAAGCCCTCTCCTGGGCTCCCGTCTACTCAGAGCGTTGGCACACAGAGTAGAGGCCAATTATTGTGAGAAAATGGGACAGAATCCCACACTCCCTCATCAGCCTTCTTAAGTGCTGTGAGCGTGGGTCTGATGATGGGTGGCATTCCTGAATGCTTGCACTCTCAGAAGATCCACCGAGATGGGATGGCATTGGTCCCAGTTCTCTCTGTGCCCTGCATAATCCCCTTTATTCCTTGTTCCACACCCATTGATATTCTTTTTGGGGAGCTGGGATTTCAGGAGTCTCCTCTTTGTTTTTCCTTGGGCCCCTGTGGGAAGGGAGTGGTCCCTGTGTTCACCCCTCAGGGCAGGCTGGGGTTGGATCCGGCTGGTGGCGAAGACCTAAACCCATCAGGGAGCTGTCCAGGGCTAGGGCCGTCACAAGGGTGGACCCGCTCTAACTCAGGAGCCCTTCGTGGTGTCTTCTTCTGCCACCAGGACGGCCAGACCGGCCCCGGGACCTGGAGCTGACCGACCTGGCCGAGAGGAGCGTGCGGCTGACCTGGATCCCTGGGGACGATAACAACAGCCCCATCACAGGTAGCTCAGGGGCCCTGTGCTCCAAAGCTGGAAAAGAGGGATGGTAACACCCTTAAACCGAAGGCCTTTCCTGGTTTCCAGTCCCACTTCTGCCTCCCTTGATGTGTGCCCTGGGCTATCCTCAGAATGTACAGAGGCCTTGGTGTCTCTTCCTGAGCCTTGGGAAGAATTCTCCCTGTGCCTTTGTGCGAGAGAGATTATAAAGATCAACGGAAGCCAAGGAGGAAGTGCTTTTAAAGAAGACCACTCCTAACTGAGCTCCCGAAACAGCTCTGTTTTCCTTGCCCACTCAGACTACGTTGTCCAGTTTGAAGAAGACCAGTTCCAACCCGGGGTCTGGCATGACCATTCCAAGTACCCTGGCAGCGTTAACTCAGCCGTCCTCCGGCTGTCCCCATATGTCAACTACCAGTTCCGTGTCATTGCCGTCAACGAGGTTGGGAGCAGCCACCCCAGCCTCCCGTCCGAGCGCTACCGAACCAGTGGAGCACGTGAGTACCCCAGGGCTGCCAGAGAAGGCTCCAAAACTCCGCACCCCAAACTCACACTGAGTTCCCCCCATCCCCAGCCATGTGAGCTTAGGTTACTTCTCCAAGGCCCGGCCTTCTCATCTGTAAAGCAGAGAGTACTAACACCTACATCACAGAGCTGTTGTGAACATGTGAGAATGTGTTTCAGGCCCTTACCATGATGCCTGGCATGTAGTAAGCACATGATAAATGCTAACTTCCAGTTTTATTATTAGTAATTCTTGATTATCTGCTTTAAAGGGGAGAGCTATGGCAAAGAGGTACAGCAGAAATACATAATTCAGTGTGAGAAATATATAAATTGGTATTACATCAGATTTCTTTTCCTAACACTCTTGGGTAGTATTTGGATTTCTGAAATCACACCAGCTCATAGAGGGTGGAGATGCTGCCCCCCCAAAAAATGTTAAATGCCAGGGATAAGCCAGTCTGGTATGAAACACATTTAGTGGATAATCCACAAAGGAGCTAATCCACACTGAGTTGGCTTACTGACCACCCACAGTGTGGAAAGCCTTATGATAAATGCTGTCTGGTAGAGGATTAAAATTCACAAGAAATTAGCCCTGCTCTGGGAGTTTAAATCTCAGCTCAGAAGGCACATCATGCACAGAGTAAGTTCATTTACACACCAGACCCAGCGTGTACATAGATGCTGAAGAAGCTCGGAGCGTAGAACAGACCCATCAGGTGGGACGGAGGAAGGTTCCTTACCTTGCCCTGGTAAGGCACAAATTGGACTTGAACCTGTGTCCGTTTGGGTTCCAGCCCCCGAGTCCAATCCTGGTGACGTGAAGGGAGAGGGGACCAGAAAGAACAACATGGAGATCACGTGGACGGTAAGAGGCCCTCCCAGCCCCGATGGAGCAGCTCCCCTTGCCACGGGCACCAGGAGCCCCTCTACCTTGATGCCCCAACACTACGAGGCCACGATGCGGTTCAGACTCTCTGGCTGGTCTTGGTGGCCATTCTTCTTTGAGAAACCAAGCTCCTCTCTGAGTTGGGCATCTAGAAACCAAACAGGACAAATGTCTAAGCATAAGATTTCAGAGAGGAGATGAGAGCAGAGGGGACCAGGGTCCACCGACTGCCAGTCTAGCCAAACGCCTAGAGGATGCAGCAAAATCAAGCGGACTTCTCTTGAAGGAGGAGGGACTGGGGTTAGACTTTAGAAAACATCTAAGCACAACACCAAACCAAGTTTTGATGTGTTCTAAGGCCCTTTCACTGGAGATTTATGGGAGCTGGGGAGAGACCAACATCTGAGATGTGTCCAGTACAGGCTTGCTTTTGGTCAGAGAATGGAGTAGGTCATTCCAAAGACTCCCTCAGGTCTTATAAAATCCCATCTTTATGCTGGCTCACTGACTACATTTTCCAAACCAAAATTGGAGTATGTGGTCTCAAAACGACTTTTTTCCCAAACCACTTCCCAGTCTGAGAATGCAAACACAGCCACTGAAATATTAACATTTCTGAACTTCTGCCACAAGTAATGGAAACAGGGAGATGCAGTGTTTGGGATCATGACCTTCTCTGTCTTTCTGAAGGCTGCTCCCATGGCAGCCTTGGCCAAACAGGGCAACAGCAGCTGGACTGAGCCCAGATGCAGGACCCTGGTTTATGGCTCTGTATAGCAGGCTCCCAGGGGACTGACTCCTGGGACAGGCCCTTAGAAAATAAAGAGCAGAATCACACTCACGCTTAAAGAACTCTGACCTCTTGGGAAGGACAGGACAGACGCACAGAAATTTGGTAGAACTAAAGTTCATTCTGGAATTTTGAGTTCATTAGCAGGAGCCATGCTGTGGTTAATCACAACTCATTTCTTCTGACTTTGGAGAAGTTTACCTTATTGTCTATATTTTGATTTATTGTTGCTCCTGTCACCGGAAGGAGTTTTGTTGAAAATAAAACCTTTGCACCTGCAAATGTGGGTGGCTCTCAGAGTCAGAGTAACTGGGTCTCAGGCGAAGCCTTTGTCACAGAAAATCTGCATACTGCTGGGTTCACAGGACCTTCGCCTTTTGGGGGACTCACTGGGGTGGGGGATGTGGTCTCCCCTACCCTGCAAGGGGGCAGGCCAGTGTTGGGCGTATCTGGAAGGGATGGCTGGCACAGCAAGAGAGGGCAAGCTGTGGGTGGATCTGGGCCCCTCTCCGGCAGCCTCCCCAGCCTGTCTGTCCCTCTGCCCAGCCCATGAATGCCACCTCGGCCTTTGGCCCCAACCTACGCTACATTGTCAAGTGGAGGCGGAGAGAGACTCGAGAGGCCTGGAACAACGTCACAGTGTGGGGCTCTCGCTACGTGGTGGGGCAGACCCCGGTCTACGTACCTTATGAGATCCGAGTCCAGGCTGAAAATGACTTCGGGAAGGGTCCGGAGCCAGAATCTGTCATCGGTTACTCCGGAGAAGATTGTGAGTAGTCTCCTCCCCATCCCCCAACCAGGACCCTTGTGGCTAGGTCGCACGAGGCCATGCTGACAGGCCAAGAAACCTGGGGTGGGTATGGGAAGACAGCCAGTTCTCAGGAAGGAGAAATGTCCTGTAGTGACCTAGAGCAGACAGGCACCCAGTCATGTCAGGCGTGGAAATATCATCATCCGAACATAGTTGGAATTACTGAATGTCATCACCCAGTCCAGAGCTGTCATTTCACAGTTGTGAAAACTGAGGCCCAGAAAAGGGAAAACCCTCAGCAGTGTTCCATAGTCATCAACGTCTGTCTTGAGAACAGAGCTCAGGTCTTCCGAGCAGTGTGCCTTACTGCTGAGCCATGCTAGTACCAAGAAAAACGTCAAGACTACCCATCCTAAAGAGGTATGATTAGACACCTCCACAGGAAGCAGGGCAGCAGGCCAGAGGTTCCCCCAGGGAAGGCTTGAGGGATTGGGAGGCCTCCTCAGCACCAGACAGGAGCGCCCCAACCAGCCCCTGCTGGTGCTCCCGCTGCGGCTCCCAGCCCTGGGAACTGAGCACAGAAAGAGAAGGTCTTTGGGGGCTGGCCTCTGGTAAAACAACAAGATTCTGGTCATATACAGGGACATATATGCCTGGCTTCCCAGACGATGGTGGCCTCGCTGTCCCCAGCACATCAGTCCCGTAGGCTGCTAAACAAAGCAGGGATGTCAGGGAGTCCCCTCCTGGCTGAGGGCCTTTGCGCCCTGTTGGGTCTGGTCTGATGGAAGAAGAGATCATGTAGGTGGATGGAGTGGGCAGAAGGAAGGGAAGAGGGACAGTCTTGGGTGGGGGGAATTTAGACGGAGCCGTCAAGAGTAGGGCCCGTGGCGTTCCTAACAGTGAGATGGAAGAAGGCAGGGGTGGGCCCTGGGCCCCACTTTCCCAGAGGTGATTATGGATTGGACTCACAAGGGAGATGAGCAAAGAGGGTCAGCAAGTCCTCTGTCCATCCCACTCCTCACCTCCATGGTGGCGGGCACTTCAGACAGGAGCCCAGTGGTACTACTGGATGGTAAGTGCAGAAAGGGTGGCATCTGGTCATGGATTCCATGGACCAGCCCACAGTTTCCATTGCATGCTCCTACCCTGCGGCCCATGCTCTGATGGATTAGAGGGGACGAGGCAGAGCTGCTTTTGCAGCAGAGTGGAGAAAACAGGGACAAGAATCAGTTATAGGGGAGGGAGAGGGCTTCCCTTTCCAGGTAGTCGCAGGGTCAGAATCACTTCCTGAACTAGATTAGGGCATCTTCAACCTGTGGGTAATGTTTCCTGCCAGGAAACAGACGCACTCTCAGCAGGTACTATTTATCACGTGTGGACAGAGTTAGAGGGAAAATGGCAAGATATGTGATCCACCTTAAAGGCTGGCAGCAGTAGGAAGCCATTATACCACTCTGAGCCTCCATGGACGGGGATAGATGAGTCCACAGCCTGCAAGGACCACCCTCAGGAGCCATGGCCTTAGGTAGAAGAGTACAAGGCTGTCAACCTGTAGCCCAGGAAAGAGGAACCCAGGGGAATTGGTACCCACCCTTCCTCTCCTCCTGCCCTGGGGCCTCCTGTTGGCACCTGCTATTGGTTAAACCCATCTGGCAGCCTGAGAACATGGGAGCCCCACTGATAAGGTCCAGCGAAGGCAACCTCCCAGGACACGGAGCAGGGTGAAGAAGGGTGGAGGATGAAATGAAGGGGTAGATGGAAACTACCCAGCACAGGAGGGGGCAAATGACTGCCCTCTAAACATGTAGGCAGAGTCGCTTCCACCTGGACTGCCACCCTTTTGTCCTGAGCCTTCCCCACCACCTTTTCAAGTACTGTCTGATGGAGGAGACATGGCCCCTGCCCTCATGGAATGCTCAGTGTTGAGTGGAGTGCAGGTCCAGGCCAGCAGAGAAAAAGTCAGAAGCAACCCTAGAGTCCTGCCTGTATAACCAACTCTCTGTCCCGACACATTGCAGATCCCAGGGCTGCGCCCACTGAAGTTAAAGTCCGAGTCATGAACAGCACAGCCATCAGCCTTCAGTGGAACCGCGTCTACCCCGACACGGTCCAGGGCCAGCTCAGAGAGTACCGAGTGAGGAAGCCAGCTCTGGACTCACCTAACCACCCAGCTCACTAACCAGGGCCAGGGGTAGCAAATGCGGGGCATAAGATATTTGAAAGAAATCCTAGGGATATTTATTGAATCCAAGGTTGACTTAAAAAGATAATGTCTAGAGTTAGATGTTCAAAAATATACCTAGAAAAAAAAATTACATACATGATATATTTTATATACACACACATCTGGATTTAAAATTAAAACCCACTAAATTTAAATTTTAAAAGTTGCATATTATATATATTATATATGTATAATATATATACACACACACACACACACATGTGTCCAGCAGATATGCTGAGAGATTCTGCTCAGCAGAAAATCACGTGAAAGGCGGTGGGTTTGGGTTGGTGTTACGTAGCACATTGCGTTTGGAATACATGCATGAGTGGGCAAAAATGTATCTTCAGAGCAGTGTTGAGGCACCGCTGAGCTACACCCCTCCCCTATCCCAATGGCCCCTACTGGGCTCCTTATCTCCTAAGCCACAACTAACAGGCAAAGCCACTGAAAGCGTGCAAATGCCCTCCCTGTTGTCGCAGCCAACTCCAGATAACCCAGTATATGGAATTTCAAGGCCCTTGGCTTCTCCCTGCCTGAGAGCAGTTTCTGCTCAATCGTCCATCCTCTTCAAAAGGGTGAGCTCAGATGGGAAGAAGAGAGAGAGCACCCAGGGTATACACGGTGCTCCCTTCTGAGTAGCACTAATTAAAAGTTGGCTGGAAAGTGAGGGAGGGAGGCAGTAACTGTGATTAATGCAGGTTCTGTGGCCTCAGAGGCCATCAAGAGTTGGCTGATGGACAGTTGGAGGCAGAGCAAGAGAGGCTAGTCTCTTCCTGGGAAATGAATTTGGCCAGTAGGGGAAAGAAGGCAATGTGATGTGTACACTTGAATGAGCTCTTCCCCACAGTTGACTTGTACCCTTAACCTACTTGCTTAGAGATTTTTCTGGCTAAAGCTCCCCATGGGTCCCCCTCTAAGTCTGGACTCCTTCCTACCTTGCCACGGGCAGCCTGGGAGACACTGGCGTGGCCACCTGACCTATGGCTTCTTACCCACTGCTAATTAAAGACCTCATGTTGCCCAAACTCATTCCACTGTCCCCTCCAACACTACCATCTTCCATAGCTGTCCCTTCCCATCCAAGCTCTGCTACCATGCAGCCTGGCATCCCACTGACTTGGACATGTGACTGTCTCATCCCTAAAGGTCTTTCAACAATATGAAAAGAAATCATTTTACTTCAAAGGATTAAATCAACCTTTCTCATGTTCAGACTTCCGGGGGTAACTTGTTACCTTTCAACTGCTGCCTGCCGTCAATCTAAACCATACTAATCCAATTCAAGGTGATGTGGTCTTTGAGCACAGAGTGGAGCTTTCCATGCCTGGACCCTTGGCTCACTATTTTTGGTTCTGGCACGGACTCCCTGAGCAACCTGGTACCCACCTTGGAAATCAGTCTCATGATGGAGCAGCTCAGATGTAAGTTTGGCCAACTTGCTCTTTCCCCAAAGACGTGGCATGGATCAGAAAATAATTGGAACCAAAACCCTTATTTCTTGTTTAATATAAATTCATGTTCATGAGTGGCTGATGAGTGGGGATTAAAAGGCTGCTTCCTCAGCCTGGATAGGACTGATGAGGTCATTTGGGACTTGGAGGCTGTAGCAAGCAAAGGAAAGACCGGTCACTACCACCACCACTAACAACTAACCCGGCCCTGCCTGCCTGACCCCTCACCAGCCTGCCTCTGTCCCGAAGGCCTACTACTGGAGGGAGAGCAGCTTGCTGAAGAACCTGTGGGTGTCTCAGAAGAGACAGCAAGCCAGCTTCCCTGGTGACCGCCTCCGTGGCGTGGTGTCCCGCCTCTTCCCCTACAGTAACTACAAGCTGGAGATGGTTGTGGTCAATGGGAGAGGTGATGGGCCTCGCAGTGAGACCAAGGAGTTCACCACCCCGGAAGGAGGTAGGTCTGGCCTGCAGCTCTTCAGGGTGGGGCAGGAGAAGGGTGGCACACACCTCGGGCCTGGAGAAACTCCAGCGTGGCTCGGCATGGATGGCACAAGGCGACTTCTTCGAGGCCTCCAGGGGCAGATGACCTGCAAGCTGAGCCTCTACAGCCATTCCCAGAGCACCATCACCAAGGTGACCTGCCCTGCCAGGAGGTTGTATCTCAAGAGAAGACCTGTGAGGTCTGCTGACATAATTCCAGACGGACTATGCAGACTGATCCCCAAGGGCACGGCGGGCGCCTGGGCCGCCCCACCACCTTCCGAGGCAGAAGGCAGCCGTCCATCCTGACTGCCAGGAGCCATCTGATTTGTTTGCCAGCACCCAAGGCCTTCACGGTTCTCCCCACATGTTCTCAAGAAGCTGTCACTGAGATAGTCAGTGTGTGTGTGCGGTGGCTCTGCAGAGGGATACCCAAGTGTAGCCCTGCCTTCTGCAGGCCCATGGTTTCACAAGGCCCTGGGGTCAAAACCCCTGTTTTTTGTTTCACATAAATTCAAGTTCATGAATTAAGAGATGACTGCAAAGTTCCTGGTTCATTTCCCTGTTCTTGCCAGTCTTCTTTTATCTGCTTTGCATCTGTTTCGTCCTCCTCCATTTCTCCTCCCTCCTCCTTTAATTTTTATTTTCCCCATTTTCCTCTTCTCTTCCTCCTGTCCTCTGTTCTTCCCTCTTGTTCTCTTTATCCTTGTCTTTCCCTTGCCTTGGTTTGGTTTTCATCATTGGCCTCTCCCTAACACTCCCGCCCTCCCACCTCTTCTGAATGTTCCACCCTGGGTTTCTGTCTCCTTAACCCTGAACCCAACATTCTCAGCTCAGAAGCCTGGGCCTGCTGCCTGGACCCAGTGATGAGAATCTTGTCTGAGGATAGGGAACTGCAGCCTCTGTACAAAACAGCTGTAAGTGGTTCTCTACCAAGGAATGGTTCTGCCCAATTTAGAGGTGTCTTTGCAGAATCAGAGCCTAATGTGTGCTTAATCCACGGTAGTTGCTAGAAGAAAACCTGATTTACTTCTTCCTCTCTTAAAAAGCAGAGTCTGAGCTATGTTTGTCTTCAGACCTGGAGGAAATGGCATCCTGGATGGGGCAATGGGCTCCGGTCGTCTCATGGTTCTCCCTGGCTTCAGTTTAGCAGTGTCCAGCATGGGGGTTGTCCAGAGGTCAATGCCTTCATACTTGTGCTTTGTTTTTTTTGTGTTTTCCTCATCCTCCCTGCCCCCTCCCCCTCATCTCCCCTGCTCTCTCCTCCTTCCCCAAGTACCCAGTGCCCCCAGGCGTTTCCGAGTCCGGCAGCCCAACCTGGAGACAATCAACCTGGAATGGGATCATCCAGAGCATCCAAATGGGATCATGACTGGATACACTCTCAAATACGTGGCCTGTACGTTCTGCCCTTCCCTTTCTCTTAGATAATCTGGGAACCAGAAACCCCATTCTCACCACTTTTCCTAAGTACTCAAGGTAGAAAGCCTGTGGGTGCAGATGGCATTGTGGAGGGATGGAGGGACCAATGAAACAGTTCCCAATAGGATTAGGGGAGGCAGGTGGGACTCAATCCCTGCTCTCCTTGCATAGTTCTGCCTGCAGGGAGCTTCTAGTCTCACTGATGAGACAAAGGGAACTCCAGTCTAATGAGGGAGACAGCCATGGCCTTTAGGGATCTTTCGTAGTCTCCAACACGTACAGAGTCTAGGAGAGAGAGTTCCTCAGCCTCTGGAGCTTCCACCTGATGGCATAGACAGTATATTCACAGGAGTCCACAGACAGTCAGGACACCCCTTGACAAGGTGTCATTTATGATAAGGCAGTTGCATGTAAAGCTGCCTGGTGACTGTAGGGTGACCCGAATTGGGAGCCTGGGTTGGAAAGACCCCACCTCAAGAGCTCAGCATCACCGTGCAGGGACAGGAGTACCATTACATTTGAAACACGTTAGGCCTTCAAAAGTAGGTAACATACCTCGTTGGGAAACTCAAAGAGCCAAATGATGTGTTGTTAGCAATTTTAACAGCCAACTGTGTGCTTGTATGCTGTTGGGCATTGATCTCTGGACCAGACCCTTTCACCCTTTGAGGTCCATTGAATAGGCATTTTACAAAGGAGGCATTAAAAATCAAAAGGCCTAGTGGTGTTGCCCTAGTTCTGTTTGAAAGGAAGAAAGAAAGTGAAGAGTTTTGTCCTTGTTGAAAGGGCTTAAGAATATAAACGGAATCTTTCTGAATCAGCCACATAACTCTTCAGTGAGCTAGAGACAACAGGATCAGTGAAGAAGGATTAACCCTGGGTGTAATCAAAGAGCCCAGAGGGAGTTCTCGCCCAGCGCTCTGCCTTTGAACCAAGCCTTTAAGATCACCAGGCAGGTGCTATCATTTCCCTTTCCAGCAAAGTCAGGAAGGTGTTCTCCCTCCAGCTTGCAGATTATATAACCCATCAATAAACGTTGCTAAAGTTTAATTCCACTTACCTCTGTCTCCCCAGTTAACGGGACCAAAGTAGGAAAGCAGATAGTGGAAAACTTCTCTCCCAATCAGACCAAGTTCACGGTGCAAAGAACGGACCCCGTGTCACGCTACCGCTTTACCCTCAGCGCCAGGACGCAGGTGGGCTCTGGGGAAGCCGTCACGGAGGAGTCACCAGCACCCCCGAATGAAGGTAGGTGCATGGCAGCAGCCCCTGGGGTAAAAGGTCCCGGCTAGTTCAGAGGCCTAGAGAAACACACTGAGGTCTGTAGCTGGCTGCCTGGGATGGAGAGGAAATGGGGCTTGCAAGTCCTCAAGCCCTTGGTAGGTGAGAACCTATCTTACTGTGTGAGAGGTAGGTGCTGGTGTTGGATCTGGAGCCCAGCTGTCCTTGGACCTCTGTGATCACACCTGGGTCCCCACTTGCCCTGACTTGCTGAGTCACTTGACATCTATCATCTTTCCTTCTTGTAGAGGAATAAGGAAGAGAGCATGAGTTGAGAAATGAGAGAAAGCATAATGAACTCCAAAGAACAGTGAGTGTTCACCTCTTGAGGGAGGCAGGAATATGATTGTGAGTGCCCCATGAGGGCTCTGGGGACAACCTTCTTTCTTCGAAGGCACATGGGTTCAAGGAGGTAAGGGAAACCATCATGATGACGCTGCTTACTGGCATCGTGAGTAGAGCAGAGAATGTGGTCCCTCCTTGCAGCCTGAATCAGATGCGTTGTCAGGCTGCAGAAAGGAGGAGGAGGAGTTAGGAAACAGCCGACTGCCAAGCCAGCTTCACAAAGAGCAAATGAGTTCTTCATCTCCTGGGTCCAGGCGTCATCTAGCAGCATTTCATCCGCCACCAGAGCTGCACCTGCCTGAGGACTCCACTAGAGGGGGCTCCAGGCTCACCCGCACACACGCTGGCGTCAGGCGGAATGTGCAGCCTGGGACCTCTGGAGGAGGCAAGGCTGCAAAAACCTCAATGCTGGCTCACCACCTAGGAAAGGCTGGGGACCCCTGTGTGTCTCCAGAGATACAACGGTCAATTCAACAGCCATTTCTTGAGCGCCCACAATGTGAGGTGCCAGACACTGCCACACACAAGGGATATACAAAGGTAATAAGAAGCTCACACCATCTAGAGGGGGAGCCATCTATAAGAATATCTAATTGCATGTCTAAATGAGGGGGCGCAGTGGCTGGGCAGAGTGGGGGATTCAGTCTTCATGGGAAAACTCCAGAGAAGAGGTGATGTGAGTGGGCACCCTGGAATCTGAGAAGTCATTGTGTCTAGTGCTTTCCACAGAAGGGTCAGGTCCCGCCGCCTGGCCCAGGCCCAGACAGGGGTCTCCTGAGTGCCACCCCCACCTGCATTCCAGGAGAGCATCAGTGCTGCCTTCTCTGGGGCTACCAGGCCTGCTGCGTCACCCCGGGCTCCCAGGCAGCTTCACAAGTTGCCCACATCCTTCCCCAGCCCCACCACTCTAGCCAGCACACCAGCGCTGAGGCGGGAGAAGAGGGGCCAGGCAGAAGCAGGGAAAGGCTGACAGCCCTCTCTGCATCCCTCTCCGGGCTCAGAAACCAGGAGTGAGTCACACAACCAGCTCTCCCTGCCACTGTGCTCTTCTGCACTCTCCCAAGCCCCTGGGCACTCGGGAAATTTATTAGGGCAAGGGGACTTAGGTTAGTGACTGATGTGTGTCTGTTACCAAAGGCCAGGCCAGGCTGTGATGCACTTTCTTGATTACTCAATTCTGCAAGTAGATAGATAAAGAGAGCCCCTTCTTCCCTCCCTATGTGTACCCCAATACAGAACATCAGATAAACAAAGCCCCATTGTCCAGCCCCAGCAACCACCACAGAGAATGTTCTGCAGCCCCGGGGGACAAGAGGACAAAGAGAGACTTTGTTCTTAACTTAGGGCTTTGCAGAAAATTCAAGAATTTCACTTAGGGCTCTCAGTCCAAACTTGGGTTTCTAACTTCATAAAGTCCAACTGGAAGGGAAGAATTGGAGGGACGGAATACCAGGAGAGGGGCTACGGGCTCCGTCCTTCAAAGTTCCTGCCTTCCAAGGTTGCGATGGTGTGGAGTGGGTGCAGCTGAACACGCTCCCTCTCTCGTATCCATCCCACTATTCAGCATCTTCCCCTGAAGACAGAAACCATCCTTTTGACTGGAGTTGATTTCCTCCCACACCACCTACTCCTTATCCCCTCAACCCCTGGCATCATGGAGGGTCACCCAGCCTGCTCAAAGGTCATGCCAACCTAGCCAGAGCAGGATATGCTATTGAGGACAGAACTGGGAACATAATCCTCTGAGTGGACTGTCTCTGCAGCCACCTCTTAGATGTCCAGTCCTTGAGTCGAGGTAGAAACAGCGTGTTAGAAAGGTCTCCAAGGCCCAGGTGGAAAGGTTTCTGTAGGAACATGCCTGACTCAGGTGGAGTTGACCGTGAACCCTGAATACCAGTTGGCATCCTCAGGCCAGCAGCCAGTACCTGGCCATGCCGTCTGCATAAGGTTTGGGCTGGAACCTTCTCTGCTTGCTTGTCCTGTGGTTTCACTTGTGCTCTGTTTTCTCTTCCCTTTTCCATCCTTTCTCCCTCTGTCTGGCCATCTTGGGCGCTGTGTTCTGAAGCTACTCCAACCGCAGGTACCGTACCAGCATCGGAGGTAATGGGCATGGCATGGGGCAATGCAGGCGGAGCCCAGCCAGGGTGGACAAGGAGGGAGAGGCTGAGGCTGAAAGCATGCTCCAGACTCACCCTTTCAGTGGCTAGGAAGCCAGATTGTCAAGCGGGATGTGTGTGGAGGATGGGACCAGAGGAGAGCAAGCCCGCTTTCCCCCCTTCCCAAACTATTTGCCCCCTGCTGAGAAAGAGAATGGCTCAGCAGGGGTCCCACACACACCGGCCCTGACCTGCTCTCTGGAGCTGCAGTTTGATTCTGACACTGAGTAGATTACTTCCCGTTAACCACCTGAGCCCTTGCCTGGACTTGACAGCTCAGAGCAGTGTCCCCAGCTGTGGCTCTAGAAGGCGTGCTGCAGCAGGAGCAGGGACAGCTGGCTCCTGGTGGGGCTGCCGTCTCCTGAAAGGGTGAGCGCGGTGTGCATGCCGGCTTTGCATGCTGCATGGGGGCCTGGCACCGGCTCTGCCAGCCACCACGGGCTCTGCTCAGTGAGAACAAGCAAGCATGTCCATGGATAGGGCCAGGTGCTCCAGTTCCTGGAGTCTCAGCAGGCACTGTGGGCTGATTATCTCCTCACCCTTCAGAAACCCAGCGTTTCCAAGTCTTTAGCATTAAGAACAGTCTCCACTCTCGGGGTGTGGGAGGTAGATCTACAGTGGACTGAGGTGCTGGGCAGCTCTGGGCTTAGGACCTGCTAATCAAGTTACTCCTCTCTAGTCCTCATATCATGGGTTTGAGGGCCATCAAAGGGCTCTTCATCACAGGAGGCCAATCCCCAGGCTGGAGAAACGAGGCAGGGGACCCCAGGGTTCCTTTCCAGGCCCTCCTCTGAGCCTGAATTACATAGATGGGAAATGAGAACAGGATTCACCCTGGCAGAGCAAAGGCTACGAGCAAGCGCTCACCAGAGCCTCCTTACATGCCAGGCAGTGAAGGGAGAACTGAGGACCGGGCCAGGAATCTGAGGGTTGGCTTATGAAGGGGATGCCACCTTGCCCAATTCGATTTCTTCCTCGCCTTTGCTTATTCATCCGCACCCCCATCCTATGTTGATTCTATTTCTGTTGCACAGCTGCTTCCTTCAGTTTGTGTATGTTTTGTGGTCAGATCTGTGGATGGTGAGCTGCCATCATCCTTCCCTCTCTCCCTCAGTCCTCACAATCACCACCACCCCAGTGCCTCCCCACAAAGTCTGAACACCCCTGTGAAGATGTGAGGCAGAGAGGTGATCCTAAGCCTGGGGACCAGGGTGAGAGCCATCCTTGCCACACTGGGGCCTCCCTGACTTCCTGCTTGACGTTTACATAAGTCTCTCCCATGACGAAGAGGAAACGCAGGGAGGGCATCAGGCGAATCAGCTGCAAGCTCACTGGAGAAGCAGCTCCCCGTCCACCTCCCCCATTCTGGCACCCTAGGACCCAAGGCAGGTGGGCCTGGTGGCAGGCAGTCTGTCTTGTTCAGTGGGCATCTGTGCTGGCCTGTGCTGCCCCTCTACTGAGTGGGTGAGAGGTATCTTTGCAATCACCCTGCTTCCTACTTCCCACTTAGAGAAGATCTACACTCAGGCAGCATGAGCTCACGGTCTCAATCAAATGTTTCCTGGGCTCCGGCTTCCACGTGACATGGCAGTGGAGGCAGATTGCACTTTTTGGGAAATGAGATGTGCTGATAACATCAGCTGTTCTCAGCTTTAAATGCGTAAGTACCTTCTGCACAATGAGCAGGTGCCAAGCAACAAAACTTGGGTTCCATGTTTTTGACGTGGACCTGGCGTCCGGCCCACTGCTGTCTTCCCTCTCGTCCTCTCCAAACCTGGGCACTGTTTCCCCAAACTGCTCTGTTCATCTCTCACCCAGTGAAGATAATCCCTCTCATCCACCTGTATCTGCAGTCTCTTAGGATTGCTGCCCATCTGTCTGACAATCTGTGATTTGGCCGGGGTAGTCAACATGCCATGTGGACATTTTTGGACTAAACCTTTCACCTTGGAATGTCTGGGAAGTGCTGTCCTCTTCTTTGACCCAGCTTAGGTCTGCAGATGTTTGGTGGGCTCTTGATAGGTGCCCTGTTCCGTGGCAGGTTCTGGGACAGAAAGATGAATGACACATGTCATCTCTCCTCAGTGTTCTCCATCTCATGCATGGTGCTCCCTGAAACCCTCCTGGAAAACCCTTGGTTGTGGCCGGGGTGCCTTCCAGTGTGCATTAGGTGACAAACCTGTGAGGTTGATGCTGCTGTCTAGGAGGGGCCTTGTGCTTCCAGCTCTAGCCCACTCAGGATCCCCCCTTAGCTAACAGAGGGTCTCTGCTGCCCCTTCTCCTTGGTCGCCAGGCTGATGGTCTCCACTGAGCACTGGCCAGGATTGCTTCCAAACCTGTAGCTCCTATTGTGGCAGGAAATGACATCTTAGCCCAGTCATATGTCTTCCCAGCCTGGTGCCACTCTGTTGGTAAGCCCTACTTCTTAGTTTTCTTTTGAAAACATCGCTCTTCTATTCTCTCCCCAACCTCAGCCCCAGGGGATGAAATAATCTGAATCTCCTTGGACCTGAGCCGTAGAAGGTTTTCCCCATGGGACACTTGCCCCTTCGTTCCACCTGTACTAGCCCCCTGACAGCTCACTGCCTGGCTCTTCTGCACCTTCCCTCAGAGGCTTTTCTTCTTTCCTCCACCCTCCCTAGCTCCCTGGGGGCCCTGTCCTGCCTTGGGACAATAGACACAGCTAGTGAGTGGGTCGGAGATGTGCCAGCAGTGACCTCAGCCCGCTGAGGTTGTATCCTCTATGGTAACTTCGATGGTGGGAGCCCTGGGGAGGCTGCCAGAAAGTGACCCCTTTTCTCTGTGACATCTCTTGCTCCCTCTTACTAAGCCTTGAGCCAGAGAGGAAGCAGCTAGGTAGCCATCATCAGAGAAAAATGCTTCCTTTCTGCCACACTTGGCGAAGTGGCCATCAGGTGAGGGGACAATGCAGTGTAGAAACATCTTCAGAGCCATCTCTCATCCTTGCCTCTGCCCAGCAGGGCCGGTGAGGAAAATGCTGTCACCTGGGCTCTCTTGACATCGCTGTCCTCCAGCTACTCACTGGAACATCCTGGGGGAAGTGTGTGCCCCCAGCTATGGCTGTGTTGGGGTATGAGTGTGTGTGTGTCTCTGTGTGTCTGAGGGCCACGGGGCCACATGAGAGAGTGTAAAGCTTTGGGGAAGATTGACTTAGTTTCTGGGGCCTGGGGAATGTAGCAGCCACTGCACCTGTAGGAAGGGAGCCCAGGCCCCTGCACTACGCAGTGTGATGATTCAGGTTAAAAGGGAGTGTTTGCTTTTTTGTTCTGTTTTTTTGAGGCAGAGTCTTGCTCTGTTGCCCAGGCTAGAGTGCGGTGGTGCGATCTTGGCTCACTGCAACCTCCCCTGAAGGGAGTGTTTTCCAACGATGCCTTTTAGATAGTCATGAGAAGGGCTACCTTGTGAGCATTTGATTTGTCAGAAATTATTAGAAAACATACTATTTATAAAGAACTCCGGCAGGTGCAGCACTTTGGGAGACTGAGGCCAGAGAATTGCTTGAGCCTGGTAGTTCAAGACCAGCCTGGGTTCCATGACAAAACCCCATCTCTACAAAAAATACACAAATTAGCCAGGCATGGTGGACCTGTAGCTGGACCTATAGTCCCAGCTGCTTGGGAGGCTGAGGTGGGAGGATGGCTTGAGCCTTGGAGGTCGAGGCTACAATGAGCCATGATCACACCATTACACTCCAGCCTGGGTAACACAGCAAGATCCTGTCTCAATTTAAAAAAAAAAAAAAAAAAAAAATCAGAGCAGTCCTGCCCAAGTAGACCAAATAATTCCTCCAGGTCCATCCCAGCAGCACAGAGCAGCAGGAAGCGCCCATGTGTGTCCATGGCCATGAGAGCTGCAGGGAACAGGCCTGGGAGAGAACTGACCTTTGCCGCATGGGTCTCTCAGGCTTTCCCATGTATGTGTACACAGTGTGTGTGTGTGTGTGTGTGCGTGCGCGCGCCCGTGTCGGTGGGTGGGGATAAGTGAATCCCTCATGTTGAGTGTTTATAGTGCTAAGCTTGTATTCCAGGCCTGAGGCCATCCTGGACTGAGCATGGCCCTGAATAAAGAATCTGAGAGGGAGAGTTGCCCCACCGCTCACCCCTCCCCACACCGCCCTGATGTCTGTGGGTTGACCAGGGTTTGGGGAATATAGCATTGTGAGCTTTGAACTTGCCCAGGAACCTCTGGAACATATGGGGCATAGTCAGCTGCCCAGTGTGACTTGGGTGGCCAGCACCCTTGGGGCACAGTAGTACCTCTGATCTTATTAGTAGGGAAGCAGGAGTATTGCCTCCTTCTCCAAAGAAGGACTTGTAATATTGGAGACCCAAGGGAATGAACTGGCTTTTGTTGGGCAGGCTCTGGCTGGGAAGGCTTAGGATCGCTTCACTCTCCCTTTAAAAAGCTCTCTGGCAATTCTTTCTCTGGCATCCCTCCCTGCCCTAGCCCCTTTCTTGGGGATATGATTTTCCTGAGAGATCTGAGGCTGGGTGGGATTCCTTGGGAGTGAGAGTTAGCTGCCTTTGTTTTAAAGTCCCTGCCTACTGCCACATTAGCATCAACTCCAGAAAGTGAACTGCGGTCAGATCACAGGAGATCGAGTGCAAGGAGGAGAGGTGGCTCTGTCTCTCTCTGCTTGGCCTCATTATTCTCATACTCTCGGCTTTAGCAAAAATTAGATCTGCAGGGAAGGATAGGGCAGCCCTTTCCATGATCTTCTGTATCAGGAAAGAAGACCTGTGAAAAAGTTGTCACATACATAAGCTTAGTCCTCCCAAGCTGACCAATATCCAAGGATCACTTTGGGTGGGAGATGGGTGTCATGAGAGGGTTAGCCCAGATCTGAATGATTCTGTGCCCCATGAAGATGTATGCAGAAAAGAAGTCCAGCATGTGCCTCGCTGTGCCTGGGACGACTCTGTCTACTGTGGGCTGGGAAGGTGGTGCTGCTGAGTGTGGGTCATACTGTCATTCCATTAGCTTCCTCTTCCCATGTTCTCATGTGAACAGAAAGCACTTGTACCTGCACCCAAATTTCCTAGAGAGAAAGGCAGTTATAAGAAGTCACTTTGGATTAGGGTGGTTGCAGGAAGGGCCACCATTCAGCAGAGAAGGGAAAGAGAGGGAGGAGAGGCAGAGGAATGACTGAGGAGAGCCAAGACTGGAGGAGGGCAAGGGTAGGCAGAACGCCGTGCGAGGCTTGCCCGCGCAGAGCGGAGACTGTTCCCTCTCTGTCATCAGGTTCGGGTGGCTGTTTGGGCTCACGCAGGCATGACAAAGGGTGATTTTGGAGTGAATGGTTGGGAATGGCAGGCCGCCCTAAGCCTCTGCTGGACAAGGCCCCGCCGCCTGCCCACCTCTAGGCTGGGGCTCCAGGGCTGGATCCAACTGGTGCTGCTTGGGCCTGTGTCTGGGTGGCATCTGGCCAGTGTTTGGCCTAGGGCTCCATGCCATCCCTGGGGTCTGAGCGATTCAGCGCGTGCCCCTTTCCCGTCTCATCCTCGTGCATCCTTGGCTGGGTGCATGCTGGGTGCTTCAAGCCACGCAGACCATGAGAAGAAAATGAAACACACACAGGGCTTCATTCTCTTCCTCTCCCATGGTTGTGTCTTCTGTTGCTGCGACCTGTCTGACCCAGCCCGTTATGCCTGGGGAGGCTCCTGATGACTAAGCCCCATCTCCTCACCGGGCTGCCTGCCTTGCACGCGGGGGCCGTGTGTCCAGGCTGGGCACAGCCAAACCAACCAGACTCGGCTGTTTTACATTTCCCTCTCAGCTCCTCCCACATTGCCCCCGACTACCGTGGGTGCGACGGGCGCTGTGAGCAGTACCGATGCTACTGCCATTGCTGCCACCACCGAAGCCACAACAGTCCCCATCATCCCAACTGTCGCACCTACCACCATCGCCACCACCACCGTCGCCACAACTACTACAGCCACTGCTGCCACCACCACCACGGAGAGTCCTCCCACCACCACCTCCGGGACTAAGATACACGAATCCGGTACTGCGCATCGCCCATGCTCCCCATCCCCTCCTGGCCCGCCTCCCCAGTGGTCTCCAGACGAACCCACAGGCTCCCCCAGCTAGGAGGTGGGGTCTGGGATGGTGTTTACCACCACCTCCTTTTGTGTTTCCTTTGGAAACTCACCCGTGACTAGATGCTCAGTCCCATAGCCTGGAGGTCCAGATCTCCCCCAGCCTGGCCCTGACACACACAAACTCCGTGGGTGGTCCTCCACCACTCAGTACCCCCCATTCTAGCCTCAGATCCCTGTTCCTTAACAGATGGCCAAGCTCCCTGGGCAGGGCCCCCAGGTTCCAGATGTCAGGACTGCCTCCAGCTACATGTCAGGCAGTCAGCTCAGGGCCGAGCACTCTGGAAGGAAGACTGTGTGAGGAGGGGAAAAGGACCAGCCACTGCACGACTGGCCTGAGGGAGTTTCCTGCCCTGGCCACATCTGCATCTGGCCTAGAGGCTGAGCAGCAGGGAGTGACTGTGCCAGGCAGCTCTGTTCCCAGAACCCCTGGTCCGTCCTTGCCTCTCCTCCCACAAGGAACACTTAACAGACTTTTCTTTTACAAAGTCAGAGCTTCCAGGAAACTGTATTGCCAAGGAGTCCCTTAATGCCCACTCACGTTCCCCAAGCCCTCAAATGCAGGCATGGAGGGAAAATTACGGGCATTCTCAGGGCCCCTGGTAAGAATCGATCCCAGGGCTGGTATACTGAGCCAGGAGAATGCACTGTTCCTGTATCATGCAACTAGGCCAGGAAGCTCTGTTCTTCCAGTTCGGGGAGACCCCAGGGGAATTCAGCGATGCTTCCAAGCACTGAGCATCAGTCTTTTATTACCAACAAGGGGAAGGTTTGTAGCTTCCTGAGCCCACAGGCCAGCTCTAAAATCAGTGTGAGGCAGCCAGCAGGGCTGGCAGGAAGCATCCAGAACTCTTCTCCCGCAGTTGTAGAATTGTAGGTCCCAGTGGGCACCCCTTTGTCTCCTGGGCAAGTCCCTTTACCTTCCAAGGCCTCCTTTCTCCCATCCTGCTCCACTTTTCTCGGCCTCCTGAATGAGGATGGAGGCTTAATAGACATGAGAGGATTTTGTTTTTAGCTCAATGACATGGAGTTAAGTGAGCTGTCAGGGCAGATGAGAGGCACAGCTGCCGTGAGCTCCTGAGACCCTGAAAATGCTGGTTTGCTTGACAGGTGCCATCTAGAAGTTAACAGGCACTTTAGGAAAAAGTTGGCTGAGGAGGAACCTGCTGGGGTATTAGAAGCTGCCACCAGCGGGTTGGTGACTGATGTCCTTTGGGGCCATGGCGAGGCATCTTTTTCATTGAAGTGGGGCTCTTTGTCCTACAAGTGCTTTGAGTTTGGAGAAAAGATGAATCAAAAATGAAGAAAGGAAGTGGCTCTTGCTCCCCAGCAAAGAGTTACTTGCCTTCTGAAATATAGGCCTTGTTGCCACGTAGGACCAGCCCCCGCAGCACTCCTCAAGTTCTGTGAGACACTGCAGAGGACCTGGCCATGGCCTTGATCTTATCTAGACCTTGGGAACACTCCTCAACCATCCTCACCTCCTTAATGTAGCAGAATGGCTGTCTAGGACTTTAAAAATGAGTGTTTACCTTTTTCGTGCCTTACATCTTGGGAAAACGTGTTTCATAAGTTTACTCTTCTCAGGGTGAAATAGGCCTTTTTATTTGTCCTTAGCCTGTCTTTTTCAGATTTCAAGGGAGATTCCCTAATTCTTACATTCCAGGAGTCAGTGAGACAATCCATGCTTCCCCTCTCTGACCCTTTTTGTGTTTCTAGGTGTTGATATCTCACATGCTTGGTCCTTCTCTTTGAACTTTTTAGTGCTTCCGGGTCATGATCCTGATCTCTCTGTGGCAATGCCTTCCTCCAGCTCCCACTTCTAAATCATCTTGGCTTCCCATTGCCTAGCCTTTTCTAAAAGAACCCCAATCTTCATTGCCATTAAAACAGCCAGATTTGAGTCAATTTCATATTGGTGACCAAACTGTTTAAACACAAATTCTCTAGCTATTTACAGGGCTTAGAGCTGAGGAGAAGGAAACTCAAGTCCCCAAATCATGACTAATCACAATTCATTCTCACCAGCAAAAGCCATGAAATTCTAAGGAGCTAGAATTTGGGATGGCTTCAAGCGGCCAGTACAATTGAAGCATCTGGCAGACAGGCAAGGAAGCCTACCTTCTGCCCTCCCCATGGTGCCATCAATGGAATCACTTTCTTGGCCCCTCACTTAATATGAATCATATCCACCTGGGGCAACCAACGCCTGACAAGGTTGTAGTGCAGAAGGCACCTCTTTGAAGTGAAAACCAGGAGATCTTTTATCACTTCCCCAGCCCTGCAGGCTCAGTCACACGTCAAATAGATAATGAATAAATGCATCACCAATGTACTCTATTCATTTATTTTTGACAAGTGAGTTGGTGACAGTGCCCCCTTGCATGCTAATAAAATATACAGGAGCCACACTTGTAAAGTCTTTGAAATACAAGGCTTCATGTGAGTACTCCACTATTAAATCTTTGCTGGAAAATGGGGTAACCAGACTGCTGGGACTCTTGAAAAATGATTATGTTTGAAGATTAGTGCCCTTCTCCTGTACACAGGCTATGGTTTCAGACAGCACCACGGCTTTGATAAAGTGGCTCCCAGCTCGTAAGAACTTGATAATTAATGTCCTCTGTGTTGCATAGAGATCAGGCATCAAAAACTTGGTGGTGCTGAGAAGCCAACAGAACAGGATTCTTTGGTATCTGGACCACTGAGGGCTGGTTGTCAAGGAGTTATCTTCTCTTGGTCCCACCTAGTTCACGCGAGGGAGAGGAAGCATTCACACTGCCTTTCCCGGGCCCCTGAGATTCTAGGCTTTAGACAATCTGAGGCTGTTAGACACATCAGTCAGGCTCTCTCTGACCAAGAACAACCCAAGAGGCTCCCTAGACCAGCCTCACCTGTCTGGATCACCATTCTCCTCCAGCTTCGAAAGTACGTCCTTCCTGCAAATTTCATCAAGACTCTTGGCTCTTAAAGATAACCCTCTCCTTCCTGCAGCACTTCTCTGCTTGAAGGGCAGGGGGCTGGCACACACCTCCTCTGTGTGGCCTCCTGCTCCTGGACACACGGCCTTTTTCCTGGGCCCTTTCCTTACACTGTTGACATGACAAGTGATCTGAAAAGGGAATAAGTCCAGGTTAGAGCCTCAAATGGCACAGATCAAAACCCACTCTTTCTACAAAAATTAGCCGGGTGTGGTGGCGGGCGCCTGTAATCTCAGCTACTTGGGAGGCTGAGGCAGGAGAATCGCTTGAACCTGGGAGGTGGAGGTTGCAGTGAGTCGAAATCACGCCACTGTACTCCAGCTTGGGCAACAGAACAATACTCCGTCTCAAAAAACAAAAAACAAAAACAAAAAAAACACTCTTTCATTTCTAACCCTACCTATGTGGACCCAGTCAGTTTCCAGCTCTCCCTCAGAAGTCCTCCCGACTGCACCTGCTTGTCCCTGGACAGTGACCTCTGGCCTGGCCACCAAGGCTGCAGCTTGGAGCTCTGTCAGGCCCTGTGCACAGCCATTTCTGACTCTCCCCTTTCCTAGATGACTGTGTGTACGTGTGTGCGTGCGCGAGCGTGGGCATGTGCGTGCATGCACACGCTTGTGTGTATGTGTGTGTCTCCATGTCTCTGGTGCCACTCCCTCCTCATCACTAACTCCTCTTCTAACCCGTCCACCAGCCCCCGATGAGCAGTCCATATGGAACGTCACGGTGCTCCCCAACAGTAAATGGGCCAACATCACCTGGAAGCACAATTTCGGGCCCGGAACTGACTTTGTGGTTGAGTACATCGACAGTAAGCATTGCTGTGCGGGGTGGTGGTGGCGGCAGCGGCGTCGGCAGCAGCGGCGGGTAGCGGTAGATGCCATTAAAGAGATCCTGTGAACTCCCCCAGGCTCAGAGAGGCCTTTTAGCCTGGCTTAATTATGGCTTAATGAAATCGATATGCACTCAGGCAGCAGAGAGGTGGGAGGAACAGACTCAAGGAGAAGGAAGGGGGCTTCTCAAGCCATTAGTGGAAGTCTAGGGTTGCATGTCTGTGGAGGACCTGTGTAAAGGGGTCCTTCATTCATTTCCTGCCCAGGATGAGGGTTCTGAATAGCCCCCAAATGAGCCAAATCTCTGCATTGATCTCCTTAATTCAGGCTCCACTAGACTGGGTGGGCCAGTTCACAGACTTGGGCTACAACCCTGCTTTGCTCCAGAAGGAATGCCAGCGGCCCCTAGTCAGAGCCACAGACCAGAGCCATTTGTCCCAGCTGGTGGCTTGAGCTGAGTTGCTCACCCTTTACTGGAGCTTGGGACCAAGGGTACAGATTCGTTGGACTGCAGAGTGTGGCCCCTGAGTGAAGGACCCTGTGGGTCAAACCCACCATCCTGGCCTCTTTAGTATGTGCTCTAAACAATTAAGCCAACTAACCCAGCCAGCCAATCCACCTGGGATAGCCTACCCAAAGAGCTCTCAGGAGAGAGCAAAGCTGACTTAGTTCTCTCTGGTTGGAGGAGGAGTTCACATCCACGGCACCTGGACTCCATAGTTTGGTCCATACTTTTGTCCATACTTTTTCAGCCTCCTACCACCCCTATTCACCCTACAGCGTACATGCACAGGCACACGCTTTTCCTGATGTGGGAATTCACCACATGGTGAGAAATGAGAGGTGAAGCTAGGAATGAGAGCCAAGAGTCAGAGTCCCGGCTCATCTTGTTTTCATGAGGGATGCTAACTGGCTTTCTGGCCCTCACCAGCCAGATCCATGTGAAAAGTCAATCGCTTCTAGGGCAACAGAGCATCTGCTGACAAGCTAAGAGTGTAAGGAAGTAGGTTATAATATGTCTAGTGTGAAGACTGGTGAGGAAAGAGAACTTCAGGAGAAGGAAAGGTGTCCCCAGCTGAAGGGCTGTTTAAAAGAGTTAGTATTGCATGGACAGGCCTGGGGAAGCTGCCTGGAAACCTCCCGGTCTGTACGATGGACTGGACCCGCGGTTCTCTGGTCCCTTCCCCCACACTTTCTACCTTTGACAGGTGACCAGGACCTAAGCACTGGCTCTCCAGCTCCTGGTGCCTGGCTCTAGGCTGATTGAGGTTTCTGTTCCCCAGGCAACCATACGAAAAAAACTGTCCCAGTTAAGGCCCAGGCTCAGCCTATACAGCTGACAGACCTCTATCCCGGGATGACATACACGTTGCGGGTTTATTCCCGGGACAACGAGGGCATCAGCAGTACCGTCATCACCTTTATGACCAGTACAGGTGAGAGGGGACCTGGCCTGGCCATCCCCTGCGAGCATGGGGCATTTCATTCTCATCCTCAGCTTCCTGCTTGCCTCTCTCCTCGGAAAGAAGACTCATCCCCACCCCATTCCCCACCTTGCATGGCGTGTCTCAGCTCTTATTATGCATCAGCTGAAGGCTCTCAGGAAGCCTAGAGGAGCCCAGTGTGCATGCGTGGTAGACAGGAAACAGTGATTGTGGCCCTGTGGGGTCAGAAGGAAACAATGGGTTGTTTAACGACAACAGAGAACACTTAGCCCCCTGCTCTGCCTGGTGTGTGTGCACATTTGGTCACTGTCTGTGGGTCTGCGGGCTGCAGGAGAGTAGTGCAACCTGGCCTGTGTGCACAGGGGCTGGCTCCCTTCATGCAGGATCAGGGGATAGGGCCATCACAGGGCCTTGATCTAGAAGTCGCTCCAGGAGATCAGTGCATTTGTTACTCCCTTGCCACCATCATCTATTGTTAAAAATTTCAAAGTGAGTGACACAGCTTGTTTGGGGCTTTGTTTTTGTCCCAAGTTTGTCTTGGCCTAAAAGTGGGCAACTTTTTGGCATGCAGGGAGAGGGGAAGAAGCTCTCCAGAACTGGAATGGTTCTGGCTCTATAGTGGCTTCAGCTGTGGACGGAGAAACGTCTTCCTTGTGCCAAATGAACAGGCCAACTGGGGCTCAGCAAAGGGCACAAGGTTCAGCAATCTCTGTGCTGGTAGGGGTAGCTGGCAGTCCGGATACTTACAGGGCACTCTCTGGTCTGTGTGTGTGTAGCTTTAAACTCAGCCGAGCAGGCTGCCAAGTGGCCTGTATGCTAAGCCCCGGGGCTAAGGGTAAGGGTGGGGAAAGAGATTAAGAGAGAAAAGGATCAGTACCTTGCCCCCAAGGGATATCCTAATCAGATGCGGGTCATTAGATACACAGGATAGGGGAGGGGAAAAAACACAGTGATTTATATGAACTTCTGAATGTTGACTTAAATATTCATTACTCCTCCTGCACCTGGCCTGGCGAGGCTGATCCTGGTAGCTTGCATCTCGGGAGTCCCTGCCCATCTGTGTAAACGTCTCACCCAACCCCTTCTTTCCTAGTCCCTCCTGGTCTGGCATCCTTTCTTCCTCCTTGTGTCTCTGCCTGTCCTGCGCATTTGCATGCCATCAAGGCTCAGAGGGTCTGAGAGTCGGGCTCCCTGATTGAGGCTAGCCAGGCCGACTCAGGCAGGATGTCTGAGTGAGTGGCCAGCCTGTCCTGTAACAAGGGGAGCCAGGCCAGGCAACTGGACAGTGGACCGAGCAGAGCAAGTGGCTGGACTCTGTCTAGCTCAGATGAGGTCCCAAGCTGTTGCTCACTGGTATGTGCATTTGATTTTGCTTCATTACATACTTGAGTCCAGCACAGCAGCAAAAAGCAAAGATGATATTTGAAAATAGGGTTCCATCCTAGGGAAGACTGCCAAAACCAGGACAGCCTGCTTTGAGAGTTTGACTTCTCCAGGTGCTAAGCCCTAGGGCTGTGGGTGAGGGTTCAGGCCCTGCCCTCAGGGATGTCCTAATCTGATTTGGGGTATTAAGCACACCATAGAAAACCGATTGATACCGGGTATGCTTCTGAACCTAAATACTTGTTTCTCTTTTCCTGTGCTTGGTGGACAGGCTCATTTTGATAGCTTGCTTTCCAGTGATGAAACAATCAGCCCTGGCAAGTCTTCCCAGGCTCCTCCCAGCGAGAGCTGGAGTGGGCAGGTTGATGAGCCCAGCTCTGAGTACATATCATCCACTTCTCTCACAGGCTGACTGGAAATTACTGTCTGCAGACCACATAGGGAAAGGAAATATTTTCACTTTCTGAAGTCTGTGAGTGTGTGTCCATATCCTTCAAAAATACACATTGTCTTTCCTGTGGATGGACTCCAGAGCCAAGTCCATGCAACCCACAGATCCCTGTGTTTCATCAAAGCAAGAACTCATGAGCATCTCTGGGCCCTGACCACTGGTCGTTTAGACAACCACAGGCTGTCACTTGGCAGACTTGAATGCACTATAGCAGTTCAGGAAGGAAATGGAAGGAAACCACTGGAAAGGCTGACAGCCTCTCTGACCCTCACCAAAAAATCCCAATGGGAAGTTAATCACCTCCTTCAAGTGTTTGAAGCCAAAGAGACCTGAGGGGCTACAAACACATAACCCTGGACTCCAAGAGGCCCATCAGCCCTTCTGTACTGGGTGCGGGATGGGGAAAGGCGGGAGGATGGCGGATGCTGAGAGTGGGCCAGCAGTCAGATAACAGCCTGCCTCGGACCTCAGGAGAACGGAGAGCAGGGCCTCAGGGGACCTGAATGCAGTCAGCCTCTGCTGTGTTTGGAAGAAGCATCTCTTTGGTCGACCAGGATGGGGCAAGGTGTGGAGAGGTGTCAAACGGTGCTTAAGTGAGAACAGCCAAGCCAAACTGTATTTGGGGAAAATCTATCTCCATTATATTTGTTCATCTATCCCTATTTCTAGGACATAATTCTTCTGCAGACTTTGAGTGACTGGCCTTTCTTCCCTGGCCAAACCCAATTCCTCTCAGTTAGAATTAGGAGTCATGACAGCTGTCTGCTTTGCAGGTGTATTGCCCATTTCTGAGTGGGTGTTGCAGGGGGAGGTGTGGAAGGCACACAAAACATGTCTTCTAGTCCAGTGTAAGAGGTGTGTGGGCTGGACGAGAGGATGCTCTTCTGGCTCTGGTCAGTTACAGCTGAGAGTGGCGAGTGTAAACGCACCCTGGTCTTTGCACACTGATATTACTGGATCCGTTAGGAATCTGGAAACAAGTTTAACAGACCCATTGAGTATGGTGTTGATAGTCAAATATAATTGCTCTGAGGACTTGCTAAAATGCCTTCCTCTCGGAGTCCAGGTCATGGGGTCCCATTATAAGTGTGATCATTATGTCCTCAATTTCTTTTGGTCCTTGAGAAACTAAATCACTTTGATGGGATGTGGTCGAGCCCACCTTATCCCAGATCCCACTTGATTGTGAACAGCCTTCTGTGTCCAAACTTCACAGGAAATTCTTTGGCCTTTTCAGTAAGGATGGAAGGTAACATTTGAACTTCACCTGGTACATCAGGAATGAAAAGCCGTATTTGCTTCCTAATTGCTCATGTGGCCCCTTTCTCCTGGAATGATGACTTTCTTTCCCAAGAGGAAGGAAGTCTTGTGGAGAGAGCTGTCAGGTGCATCAGAACAAGCACCAGGAAGATGGTGGTGCAACTAGGCCATTGACTAGGTCGTTGCAGACACACAAACCAACCTCCTTGCAAAAGGTGGGTACAACTATCCAAACACATGTTGAAGTAATTCCTTCATCCCAGTGCCCAGGTCCCGCACATGGGCAAGCCAGTATCCCTATGACCCCTAGCTAATATCAGGGGAAAAACCTAAATCAGTATGCCAGGTTAACTGTATTATAGTAAGATTAAATTGACCCGTTAATCAATAAATAGTCACTGACTACTTGTTATGTGACCAGCATTGTGCCAAGTACTACGAGTCTAAAAAAGATCCCCCATTCTCAAGACTTTAATAGTATAACTGGAAACCAGGACCCAGGAAATAGAACAATTAAATGTTCCACTGCATGGAGCAGCTGGGGGTGAAATCGGAGTTCGGAGATGGTGTGAGTTGGAGCAAGGGGAGATTCAGGGAGGAGGGGTAGAGTGTGCAAAGGTGGCAGTGAGCTAGGAGGGCGACAGCCTGGGCTTTCTTGGGCAGGAGGGGCAGGATGCACGGAAAGGAGACTGGCGCTCCTGGAAGGCCAGGCTCAGAAGCTGAGCCCACACAGTGGGGAGTAAGGAAAGGTGGCATCATTGGAAGTCTCCTAGGAAGGTGGTAACAGGATGTCTCATTGTATCCACAGGAACTGACAGGCACACATGAGGGGACCCCTGGAATAGAATGGAACAGTGAGGGGAATATGGGAGGCGTTTTGGAAGATGTGGCAGCTCTTAGAGATGGGCACAGTGGTGAGGCCTCTGGCAGCAGCAGGAGAGCTGGGAGAACCAAGGCAGGGGGCAGGAAGATGCAGGTTGAATTTTAAGCACACACATCCAAGGAGAGCTGGAGGAGGAGGCTCTGGGCTTACGGTTGTGGAGGTGGCTGGAGGGATGATGGGGATGAATAAAGGATCACTGGTGATGACGAGAGTCAAGGAGGTGGAGATCAGCCTGGGAGAGGCCCACTCAGTGGTAACAGCTGAAACGCTAAGAACAGAGGGGCTTAAAGTCAGCTTGCTGGGGGTACAGAGGAGTTGGCAGGAACTGGAGGGGGCGGAAGAGTATAGAGTGTACCAATAAGAGGGCAGCATGTGAACTGGAGCTGAAAATTCTGGTAAGTTCCTCAAGGGTTTTTGTTTTAAGACACAGGAACACTTAGGACTTTGAGACCAGCCTATGCAACATAGCAAGATCCTGTCTTTACTAAAAATAAAAAAAATTAGCTAAGCATGGTGACATGCACCTGTAGTCCCAGCTACTTGGGAGGCTGAGATAGGAGGATCACTTAAGCCCAGGAGATTGTGGTTGCAATGAGCTATGATAACACCACTGCACTACAGCCTGGGCAACAGAGTGAGGCCCTGTCTCAAAAAGAGAAGAGAAGAGGAGGGAAGGGGAGGGGAGAGCAGGGAAGGGGAGGAGAAGGGGAGAGAGTTGTAGGGGAAGAGAAAAAAGAAAAGGAGGGAGGGAGGGAGGGAGGGAAGGAAGGAAGGAAGGAAGGAAGGAAGGATTAAATAGATAATGATAGATCTATATATATTAAATGGTTATAAATGCTATGAAATAGAGATAGTGGCTGGGTGGGAGTTGGGGACAGGGACTTCGTTTAAACTGGGAAGGTTCAGGAGGACCTCTCTGAGGAGGTACCAGTTGCCAAGGCAGCCATTAGAAGAAAAAGCAGCAGATGCCAAGGCCCTGCACTAGAATGAGAGCGGCCAGCATGGCTGGGGTATAAAGCATGAGGACAGGGTGGTGGGAGGTAGGACTAGAGAGACGGCCAGGGCCTGCTCTGATGGAGTCTGACAGCTCAGGATAAGGAATGAAGAGTTTTCTTCAATAACAAGGAGAAGCTTTGGAGGGTTAAAGCAAGAAAGTGATTCAGTCCTACGTGGGGGGTTGGAAAGATCACTCTGACACTGTGGCGGGGGCCTGCTGGGAGCAGGAGTGGAAGCAGGGATGGGACTTTTCTCTGCAGCCTACCTACATCATGGTACTCACAAGCCTTGTTCTCACAGCCCTCTCCTGCTTTTCAGCCCGGGGCTGCCCTGGGCAACCAGAGTGCAGAGGACACTTGTTCATCAGTCTTCACCCTGTATTGAGAACTTTCTTGGTGCAATGCCATTGCCTGGGCACTGGGAAGCCTGTAAAAATAGTTTCTGCCCCCAAGAGGAGCAAAGGGTGGGCTTGCACCCAGATAACGTCCCCACAAGTGGCATGTGCTGAAGACCTGGGGGCGCACGTGCTGTGGCCCCTCATGCTGTTCCCTGTGCTCCTAGAAGGAGGCTCAGTGCCTTGGCGCCAGCTCCATGGTTCTTGGGGCACCTGCTGTTGTGTGCCTCTCCCCAGGTGTCTCTGGGCTGGCTGGTTCCAGGGTTACTTTGGGTGTGTTAAGTTCCTTTGATCCTTCCCTTCTGTCACAGAGTCTCACGTTCTGTGACAGGCTGCATTTCAAGAGGGGTCGCTTTTGTTCTCCAGCCAGTAGAAAGGAGAAGGGCGAGTTGGTACTGACCACACCCACCTCCCGAACCCAAACCCAGCCATTGGGCCATCAAGGACACCCTCAGATGACTCCTGAGCACCTGTTCTTCAGGGCCTCCTGCAGGCCTTTCAAATCACAAAGGGATCTGCCCACTTTGAAACAGGTCTCCACATATGCTGGGCATGGACAGAGAGGGACTCACTGTCACAGGGGTTGGAGGAGGGGGCACATCGGCTTGTCACAGACCATCGGGGGGTCACCCTGTGTGGAGTAGTCTGGAAGTGTCATGGAGTGAGCAGAAGGCACAGCCCCAGCCCCACGTCGCTGCTGGCCTGGCTAGGGGTGCCCACACCAGGATTGCCTTTGCTGTCAGGAAGCACATGATCCACTAGAGAGATGTGAAAAGACAGGACATCCTGGGCCTCCACTTGTTCCAGTCCCCACCCTCAGGAAGGCTGGATGGCTTCGGAGCCATGCTGGTGGGCAGGGATGCTGCTGTGCGCCTGTGCAGGCCTGCGAAGGTGTTCTCATAGCGGGTTTTTGCAACGTGGCCACGGCCTACACTCCCTGAGGGTAGCTTGCCGGCTCCCATTTCTCCACCCTGGACTCATCCATGGGGAATCATACTTCCATGGCCAATCCATGGCCATCCCTCAGTCCCCACTAGGCTGTGACCAGCCCTCTGGTTTCCAAGAATGCCGTGCTTCGTTCCTAGGATACTTGCCCTTCCTAAACGACCTGTTCAGCCTTCTGCTTCTTATTTGCTCCTTGTACCCCTTTCCTTTGCCTCTTTTCTGATCTTTTGACCTTGGCTCTTTAATTATTTTCCTTTTGTCCTTTAGCGGGGTAGTTTGGGCCGGGGGGCTGCTAGGTGGTAGTGTTAGGCTCCAGGAGAAACATCCATGTGAAATAGCTGAAGTTCTTCCCTCCATCTCCCGCCTCACCGTCTCCCCCATGAAATCATTCACGGGTTTGCTTCCGGCCCTCCCCGCCAGCTTACACCAACAACCAAGCGGACATCGCCACCCAGGGCTGGTTCATTGGGCTTATGTGCGCCATCGCCCTCCTGGTGCTGATCCTGCTCATCGTCTGTTTCATCAAGAGGAGTCGCGGCGGCAAGTACCCAGGTGAGCCGGGCGAGAGGCGTGGGCTTGCAGGGCGGGGCACGTCCGCTTTCCCGTGAGTCTCCAGGTCTCCAGCCAGATCCGGGGACTGTGTTCTCTCAGTGAAGCCAGCTCTTGCCCGGCTTGGAAATACAATCCTCTTGCCTGTGCATCTTCGGGCTGCCAGCAAGCACTTGAGTTAATTAAGTTCGCCTGAGTTGGATGGATGGCACAGTCCAGGCAGCCTCAGAGAGGGGATGGAAGGAACCCTGGCTCCTGTTAAGAATGACCTTTCCTCCCCTTGACTCACCACCCATCTGCTCTATAAATTGCCTTTTTTCAGCCTGAATCTCATTAGGATCCTGGGTCCCGGGGAAGGAGAAAGGAAGAGAGGCATTTTCTCTAACCGTGTCCCAGAGAATGGGGAGAGGAGGGGTCTGGGCAGAAGCAGCACACCCATGAGAGAGTTCCAGAGGTGGGCACTCAACAGGATGATGGTGTAACCACCAATACCACTAGCAAGGGTCAGAAGCTCCGATGCGAGGAGTAGGGAGAGGCTGAAGACGGGTGGCATTGGTAGGGGCCCCCGTGGTCCTAAAGCACTTTGGGCTTCCCTAAAGTCCCAAGGAGACCTCAAGATCCTTCAGCCCCTGGCTAGGCACAGTGACTCACACCTGTAATCCCAGCACTTTGAGAGGCCAAAGCGAGTAGGTCACTTAAGGTCAGGAGTTTGAGGCCAGCCCAACCAACATGACGAAACTCCGTCTCTACTAAATATACAAAAATTAGCTGGGCATGGTGGCAGGTGTCTGAGGTCCGAGCTATTCAAGAGGCTGAGGTGGGAGGATTACCTGAGCCTGGGGAGGTCAAGGCTGCCGTGAGCCATGATCGTGCCACTGCACTCCAGCCTGAGGAACAGAGTTAGACCCTGTCTCAAATAAATAAATAAAATTTTTAAAAGATCCTCCAGGCTGGGCACGGTGGCTCACACCTGTAACCCCAGCACTTTGGGAGGCCAAGGCAGGCAGATCACTTGAGGTCAGGAGTTCAAGACCAGCCTGGCCAACATGGTGAAACCCTGTCTCTACCAAAAATACAAAAAATTAGCTGGGTATGGTGGCACATGCCTATAATCCCAGCTACTCAGGAGGCTGAGGCAGGAAAATTGCTTGAACCTGGGAGGGAGAGGTTGCAGTGAGCCGAAATCGTGCCACTGCACTCCAGCCTAGGTGATGGAATGAGACTCCGTCTCAAAAAAGGGGGGAAAAAAAAGATCCTGCAGCCCAGACATACCAAGGTCAAGGACAAGGACCTCTGGCATTCTTGTTTCTGGAAATATTGATTGTTTTTTACACAGGAGCAAGAGAGCCATCTGTCTGTGATGGGGTGGGTAGGGTGACAGGAGACAGGATAATGGATGACCCTGAAAGCAAAAATCTGGCTGGACTACAGAGTGAAATTTCTCCCTGCCCCAGAAAGCCCCATCACCAGACATACCCCACGCTCCCCAAATGCTTCCTTCTCCCCATCTCTTAGAACAGGTCCTCCCTCAGGATCCCCCTAAAACTCAACACAAAGGAAATAGAAGGGAGAGGAGACTCGATTCTTTTTCCTTCCCCATGCCCAAGTACCCACAGACTAGGACTCTGAAGAACTGTGCCTTAAGTGAGGGAGGGCAGGAAATGATCATTCCTTACTGGTGAGCGATGTTTGCTTTCACTCTCTTCTGCTGTGCTGGGCTTACCTGATTCTGTAAGAGAGAAAGCCTCAGTTAGGGAAAAGGCTGCCTCCTCCATCTGACAGTAAGACTTGGGTGGACTGAGTTCACGCCCGTTCCAGGTGGAAGTGGAATACCAGAAGAACCCAGCAGATCAACTCTGAGCCGTCCTTTGCCCTTTCAGAAAGTATCTCATTCCAAACAGTTCTTCAAAACTAATCTCTTGCCCTCCAGCTACAGGGTAAGTCCCTGGTCCCTTAAAAAGATGAGTGAACCAGGAGCCACAAGGCCTGGGTGCTAGTCTTCCCTCTGGTCTTCATTCAGTCACTAATTAGTTACGTGATATGCTCTTCACCTCTCAAGGGTTCAGTTTCCCTCATCTAAAATGAGGCTGATTATCCGCCTTGTATCTCAAAAAGGACACATAGGTCGGGTGCGGTGGCTCACGCCTGTAATCCCAGCACTTTGGGAGGCCGTGGTGGGTGGATCACTTGAAGTCAGGAGTTCGAGACCAGCCTGGCCAAGATGGTGAAACCCCACCTCTACTAAAAATACAAAAATTAGCCAGGCGTGGTGGCAGGCGCCTGTAAACCCAGCTATTTGGGAGGGTGAGGCATGAGAATCGCTTGAACCCGGGAGGCAGAGGTTGCAGTGAGCAAAGATAGCACCACTGCAAAAAAAAAAAAGATACATAAAGAGGCTTTCATGTAAGTGCCCGCTGTGCATCCACCTCTGTGCTGTGCACTAGCAATACTGGAGGAAAAATGATCTCTCCTCAAGGGCACCATAGCTGACACCAAAAGAATGAGCACAGCACAAGACAGGGCCTCGGCTGAATGCTCACACGTCACAGAGGAAGTGGAGGAAAGGGGGCACGCCAACAAGGGGGAGTCACAGAGAAGAGACACTTTCCATCCCATAGGTGTGTCTGGCGTGTCTTCTCTGCTCAGGGCACTCTGCTAGGAACTGTGAAGAAGCACACAGACCCCCACCCTTGAGGAAAGAACTAGCCTTCTGTGATAGGCATGAGAAATGTGCACAAATAGTTACACCACAGAGCAGAATAAGAAAGGTGCAAACAGTGGAGTGCTTGCCTTTGGCAGAGGAAAGGATCACATCTGTTTGATCTTTTGGGGAGACTTCATGCAGATGTGGTTGGGGGAGCTTGGTAGGAGGGGATTTCAGTTGTCAGTGGAGATGTAAAGAGACCTCTGGGGCTGAGAGGGAGGCGGCAGAGTCAACTTGGCAACTGATTGAGTACAGGAAGCAAAAACAAGGGAGGCGTGGATGGTGCCTTGTTAAAAAAGAGTGTCCGTGAGCCCAGGGCGGTGCCTGCTGGCCCTGCAGTCAGTGGAGCCCTGGAGAGCAGGGGCATGTACTTAATCATCGTGTCTGTGTCTTTGCTTCTCTTGTTGACCAAGTACGAGAAAAGAAGGATGTTCCCCTTGGCCCTGAAGACCCCAAGGAAGAGGATGGCTCGTTTGACTATAGGTGCGTGATCTCCCTCCTCCTCTCTCAGGCAGGCTGTCCTCCATGTCCCTGAGGCACCACCCTCACCTCAGAGCAGCTCCACTTGGCTGAGAGGCCATGAGTAGCCGTCCTTGCCCCTTGGGCTGTCACCCTGCCTCTGTGGCGGCGCTGTGGTGGAGAGTGCGTGCTGCTGAGTTTACTCAGAGGCTTCTCATCCTAAGAGTGCCAGACGAGGCTGCTCCCCCAGGAGACACTGCCTGACACATGCATGCATTAGTTTGACGAACAGCATTTCATTCATTCAACCGCACAACTCCAATGTATCAAGCTTGCTATTTATATCTTTCCACCTTTTCACTCTGAACACGAGCCCCAGGACCCTCTTGCTGTGAGATGAGCTCAGCCCTCAGGCTGATTCTCTGCCCACACTCTACTCCTAACCCTGAAGATAATGACCCTGGGAGGCTGTGATGTCTTAAAGCCTCAAGGAATGAAGGTGGGCTGATTCCAGGTCGTTTCTCCTTGAACGTGGCGATATCTTTGGGCTCTAGACCGGAATGGGCCTTGGAAAGGTATCTAGGTCCAGTGCCCTATGCCCCAGATGAGAGGACTGAGGCCCAAACCGGGAAGCGTATTGCCTAAAACTCTTCCTTGCTCCCCACCCAGTGAGTTAGTGGCAAAGCTGGAAAGTCCGGGGCCGGCTGGTGCTGCTGGTGCTGCTATTCTATACTTCTGTACCCGTGCTCCTGTCCTACCTGGATGCATCTTTGTATCTGGGCTTAACAATGTCGTTGTTTGTCCATGGAGATCACGAATATGTTCTGAGCTGAGGGATGATGCAGAGTGGGCTGTGGAGTGTCATTCTCAGACCAAGTGCTATGGAGGGAATGTCTGATCAAAGCCCTGCCTGCCCACGCCACCCAGTTACTGCCTGGGCCAGGCCCTTGTCCTCTGCTGCTGTCTCCTTTTCCTGTCCTGGGCCTCTGCCACTCTGCCCGTCAGCCTGGCAAGCATAATCAGATCAATGGGTGGTGGAGCCACTGCCCACACAGGAGCCTGTCTGTAGGCTTATGGGCCATAACTGTCCATCTAGTCCCAGCATCCCCACAAGCCCCCTGAAAGGGCAGTCACAAGAGCCCCCTTCCCATCTTCCGTGGCAGGGCCCAGCTTCCCTGTGGGCTGAGACTTCCTTGGCTTTTTGTTCCAAAAGCCACGGGGCTTCTCCTCCCCCAGACTCTCGGTACAGCCAGAGAGGAGGAGCGTGGACCTCCTCCAATACGGGGCTGAGCAGCCTGCACTGTGAGGAGATGGTTCCTCGTGCACCTCTCCTGCCCCAGACACCAAAGCTGTCGGGCAAAAACCCCTGCCTCCTCCCCACAGACACTGAGGCTGGGTCTACACGCACAGGAGCATGCTTAGGCCTGCACCCCTACACACACACACCCCTCTGCTTTGGCTCTGGAAGGTCTGCAGCATCTGTCCTAGAGTCCTCCCTTGGATGAGTCTAAGAGCCCTAACCTGGGGAAAGGCTGAAATGAATACATCAGAGGAACAACTAAGTTTCCACGGGGGGATAGGCCTGGGGGCGAGGAGTACTGTTCCTCTCACTCCAGTCTGTGGCTAAGTGACTGACCACCTTTCCCATGGGGCGCCCTTTGTTCTTCTCCCCCATGTCCGTCCACCTGGACCTTGAAGGTGTCTCAGGAGCGAGGCCAACAGGTGGCCAGACCAAGGCCACCCTTAGTCATTCTGGTTTCTTTCAAGCTTCCATTAGGAGAGGTCTATTCGGTCTGTTCTTTTTAGACCTAGATCCCCTGTTCCCTCAACAGCCTGGCATGCTACAGACCTCTCCCCCTACCCCTCCCACTGGCTGGGCTGTCACTGTCCAGTGGCTGCACTTAGCTTAGCTGCCTGGAACCAGAGGAGGAATTCCCACAAATCGCATAGCACAGTCCTCATGCCCCTGCACATGGGGTGGAGGGCCCTGGGAAGGAGTGCATGCGAACAAGACCTGCAAGTGGGGTGAGGAGCCTGGCAATTCCCCTCCTCCAGTTGGCAAACAGTGACTTCCACTTCCTGCACAAACTCAGCACAGCCCCAGAGAGCTGCCTCCCTCACACCATCTCCCAACGCACGGCTGTCCCAGAATACAGTTAGGCTGTATTCATGGGGCAGCACTGCAGGGAGTGAGCTAATAGCTTTCTGTCTTCTAACACAGCCCCGGCCCTGGCTCGCTGCCCTCTTCTGACAGCTGTCTTTGCCCGACACTGCTATTAGAAGTGAGAACGCACTGCCCACTGTAATGGCAACTCAGCTGGTTGTCTTCCCCATGTCCAGGAAGGACTGGGGGTGGGTGGGGAGCTGGGGGCAAGGAAGGGTGTGGTGTGTGTCTGCTCAGACCGCCTGGCACCGCTATGGTCCCTGAGACCCAGACTCCCACTGCTCATCCTGAGCTGCTCCTGCCCAGGAACTGGGCTCACCTCTGAAGTGCAGCCAGCACCACCTGGTGCCTGCTCTGAGCCTTTTCAGCCAAGGGAAGGGACATGGTGCCTGAACAGACGCTGGCTCAGGGAGCAGCCCACGCCTCCTCGGGAGTGCAGCAGACATCCTGACTGGGCAGCTGTTCCCAGCGGCCCATGCAGCTTTATTTGGCAGCCTCCCAGCTCTCCCTGCACAAGGGGAGCTTAGGGCCAGGGCTTGTAGGCCTCAGAGGGGCTAGGCATGATCCTCTGAGCCTTGCTATCTTCTCACGTTTGCTGGCATCACCTGCTTACCTGTGTGCGCCTCCCTCCCACTACTCTTGCACACCTGTACTTGCTAGGTCCAAAGTAATAACATCTTTTTATAGATCAACCAGATAGCTCAGCGAAACACACCAAGACAGAGAAGCAGAGAGGCGGGGGAGAGGTTTCTTCCTTTAAAAGCCTTGCTTTTTGTCAAGGTGAGAGTGTTTCCCTACAAAGTCACAGGTCCTGGGAGATCAAAGCTGGGCCCGCCCCTCTTGATGACTGAGGCCCAGGTCACAAAACCACACAGTGACACACTCGGGACTAGAACCATCCCATATGATCTCACAAGCAGTGGCTCTGCCTCATCATGGGGTGGCCATCCTCTATCCACTCCCACCACAGACAGGGACCCAGTCTCATGGAAGGGACCCGGACCAGGAACCCAAAAGCGTGGGCTCCACTCCCTGCCCTACCTGACTTGCAACCTCACCTTAGAGAAGGTGCTTGTCTCCGTTTCCCTTCTGTAGCGCAGGCTGGACAGGGGAGGGTGAAGCGGGGGCTGGACTGGGTGGTCTCCTGGGTCCCATCCTCTCTGAGCTGTGTAGGACATGTGTTGGCAGGAGGCCGGCTGCCCCATCCCACACCACCTGAGATTCTCTGTCTCTCTTTGGCCAGTGATGAGGACAACAAGCCTCTGCAGGGCAGTCAGACATCTCTGGACGGCACCATCAAGCAGCAGGAGAGTGACGACAGCTTGGTGGACTATGGCGAGGGTGGCGAGGGCCAGTTCAATGAAGACGGCTCCTTCATCGGCCAGTACACCGTCAAAAAGGACAAGGAGGAAACAGAGGGCAACGAAAGCTCAGAGGCCACGTCACCTGTCAATGCTATCTACTCTCTGGCCTAACGGAGCCCACCCAGGCACAGCCACCACTTTGCAAGTGGGAGGAGGGGAGAGGGGGAAACTAAACCACTGCAGACCTACCACAAAGCCACCACCACCTTCAGTAACAAGGGTACGATATGGGGGTCTGCCAAGCTGTGAGGATCAGTGACCACCAAGCCACCCATAAGCCCCCTCCCAATGACCCCCCTTCAGCCCCGGGTGCCACCAGTGTGGGAGAGCTGGAGCCGTGGCTGAGCTCAGCTAGAGGGAGCCTGGCCCCTTGCCCAGTCTCACAGCCACCCCCGAGCGTTCCACCACACTGCCCGCCCTTGGCCTCGGCACATGCTCACCGTTTCTGTTGGTTACAGGACTTCTCATTGTCTTAATTTTGCTTTGTGCATCTTCCCCTCCAGACCCGATGTCTCCGTTTTCTTTTCCTTTTGAAAAAGTGTTCCTGGAAAAGAAAGAAAAAGTAGATTCTCCCCCAGGAGACCACAAAGATAGGCAAAAAGGATTGAATCCGTACCAGAACATGTAGACAGGCTGTAATATTCAAACCACCTCTGGGTCAATGTATTTCCGAAGGATGCCTTTCTCGCCATATGCCTCCCCTGGCTCCCAACCCCTCTGCCTCGGCCTTGTCAGTTGCTGAGCTGGGCTTGGCTCTTTTCTGGAAAATGACAGTATTTTTGGCAGGGAGAGGGTGTGCAGGCCTCCTTGCTGCTCTCTGGTTCGGTTGGGAGGTGTGTTTACCTCTTGCTCCTCATTCCCCCCCTGCCCTTTTCTCTGGTGTATCTAAGATGTGAGCTGCACTGACTCTGAAGAAGTTTGAGGAACAGGAGTGAGCACTGATAGGAAGGACTTCAACGCCAGTGACTGTGTACCTCAAGCAGAAGAAAATCAAGTGTCTGGTCTTGGGGGAACTCTGCTTACCTCTAGAGAGAAGAAAAAGGCTGGGTTTGGACTTCCTTCCTCCCCACTGGTGAAACCCAGGATGTAGATAGAGGGCCACACCCACTCTGTCCCAGAGGGCACCTGTCCACGTGGCTGGGGCCCACGCTGCCACCCTGGAGGAGATGGAATGCTGTGATGCAAAAGCTTTGCTGGTGCGTTTGGGGCATAAGGCGCTGCTCCCCTTCCACCTCTAGCAGATAGATATCATCTTCTCAGCCAATTCTGTAGGACACTGAGGCTTTTGTTTGACATGGTATGTGGATGGGGACTTGCCCCAAGACTGAGCCAGTCTGCCCTTTCATTGGGGTGTATACATATCAGGGGACCTGCGGTGGCACCGTACTCAGTGCTGTGATGCCCCCACCTGGGGAGGACTCAATGCTCTTTGTATGCCTTATGCAGCGCTGATCTGCCCCTGGAGTTCCCAGGTTCCCAGCCCCTCCCTGCAAGCCTTGAAGCCTCCAGCGATGTCCGTGTCCAGGAGAGCAGGGCAGCCTATGCAAGTGTTCCGGCAGGACCAGAAGCGGCCACCCAACACACGTCCTCACCAGTCACCCCAAATGGAGACACTCGCAGACCTGCAGTTGTCAGACGGAAGGTGCTGCCTTCATCCTCCCCACCTAATGCATTTTTGAAACCAAAGGTACCTAGCCTCAGAGACAGAGAAGGAGAGGGGGAGATCTTGAGTCTAAGAGGAACCCTTTAGCTGTTTCTGTAGCTCCGGTCAGTTTCAGGAGGGTGAAGCTGATCCCCAGGAACGAATCAGCTGCCATGGGCACAGCCTCTGATTTGAGCCTCCAGCTGCTAGCCAGGGGGCCTGGGCCGGACCAGGGCTCTGTCCTTCAGTGACTTTATTAAAGCATCATTTGCCACATGTTTAAGCCGCAAAGGTATTAGCAATGCTTGCATCATTAATAATCATTCAGTTGAAGGTCAAGCCCATAGACACACACTCTCTGTCTGCTGGTAAGAAATCATAGCCCAGAACTGAGCCAATAAGGCTGTTTGAACCTGAGAGTGTGTGATGGTCATTTGGGCCAAGCCTCAGCCAGGGCTGCTGCCTGGACGCCTGAGGGGCAGCTTATCACAGTGCAAGGGGACAGGGTAAACAGCAGGGGGTGGGGCGTGAGCTTGGAGGGCCCCTCCCCTGGCTTTCCTCCAACACCTGCTTGGATACTAGGCCCACTGTCCCTGAAGGGAATGTCAGGGAAGTGTGCCTGTGAGCTGAATTAAAGGACTGGCCTTTCCAGAAAACGCTTTGGATCTGAGCAGAGTAGTCAGTTTCTCAGACACTCATTCCATACTGCACCGTACATGCCAGTGAACTCACTGCACCGAAAGCAGGCTCTTAGGGCAGGAAGGGACGGTGAGCAAGTCTGCCACACCACCTGGTGACTGGGAAGGCTGCTTCCCTCGTAAGGGTCTTGGGGAGAAGTAAGCCCACAGCCTGCCTCTGCACCTCGTTCCAGTGTCCTGTCAGGCTCTGCACTGTCCTTTGTGTATGAAGAAAATGCTATTAGCCCTCTCTCAGGCTACTGTTCTGTGGGTGCTGAGAGCTACCCCCCATCACCATGCAATCACACCCGTCTGAGCAGAAGCAAATCTGAGGCTGAAGAATTAAGTTTTCCCCAAGCAAGGAAGGCAGGTGGTCAGAGAGATCAAACGCTGCTGGCGTGGGGATTGCAGGATACAGGAGGCAGCCCCTTTGGGGAAGAGGAGAGTGCGTTTTCCGTGGAGCCCGTGTCAGAGTCCAGCCCAGCTCAGCACGAAAGCAGAATTGCCCAGCACTCCCTGCCAGCTGGGTCTCCCAAGCAACTACCCCAAGACATACCAACAATGAAGCCAGGACAGCACCATTACCATCGGCACTCCAGTTTGGCTGGCTGGGAGGAAAGTGCTGGGCATCTTACAGTAACTCTAGAAGTTCCTTTGACTGGGCTGCAATCCCACCTGTGTGCTCAGCCCTAAGAGCTGTAGTTTCCTGTGCTGTCATTTGTTCATTCATTCGTTCATTCATTCATTCATTCATTCAGCAAATACTCTGAAATCCAGTCTGAACTAAGGCCTGAGCTGTGGATACCATGGCGTGTGAGTTAGATGTGGTCCCTGCCCTCACGGGGCTGACAGTCCTGAAATCAAGTGCTGGGACACAGTGGCCATTGAGTTGGGAGCATTCTTCCCTCTATTGCTTAAGCCACTGATGGCTATGAGCTTGAAGAGAGGGATTCTGAGGGAGAATTTCGTCCATCTGGTCACCAAGGCTGGGCAGGACAAAGCAGTCAAGAACCATGGTGTGGCTTGAAAAACAGTCCTGCTTCCTGAGCCTCTTTGCTCTGCCTCTTGGGGCCAAGGGTTAGTCCACATCCAGGTTGCATGAGATGAGATGCAAAGGGCTCTGTGTGGGTGAGGAACGCAAGTTAGAGGAGCAGGAGAGGCCACCAGGGTTGGGACCTATTTAGGTAATCCCTGTTGGCAGCACCTAGAGAGAGCATCTGAGCCAAAGGAGTGGGAAACTCTGCCCCAGCAATGGCACGGGCTGCAGTCTCTTTCTGGCGCCCTGTGCTGGAGCAGGGCCAAGTCTTAGGGCATCACGAACAGCCCATTTGATGGAAGGAGCAGGGATGTAGCACATTTTTGTCTGTCTTTGTGAGGCTGCTTTGCTAACTCTCTGAGGAGAGGAAGCCTCTCAGGCTTTCCGTGGGCTGGGGCTGGTGCCAGAGAATCCCTTCTCAGTGGGAAGGCAGCAGGTTCCTGGGAGGCCGGCACAGGGCACCGCTCCCCGCTCCTGACACCTTGGTGCAGACTGACTTCCTGCCCAGTCACCACTCCGGCCAGCCCCGCCAAACACACACAAGCTCATGGTTGCGGTTGGGTCTATCCCGTTAGTTGGCAAAGGATCCTGCTTGAGCTCTGCGTAGTAGCCGAGGAGTAGCATTGAGGAGGGCCCTGATTGTTTAAAAAAAAAAAAAATAGGCCTCAAAACAATGAAACAAAGAGCTTGATGTGTCAGGAGGAGACCAAGGCCCTGGGAGGCATAGGCAAGCCGGGCAGAGTCAGACCAGCACCCTCCCTTGACCATCTCCTAGCATTCCCCTCCCTTAACCTAGACAGAGGCTACCCCATGTGAGTTCAAGCCAGACTTTGTGGCTGTCCCCAGCCTGCACAGCCCAAGCCCAGGGAAGTGTCCTTTCTTTCCCTTCCTTACTAATAATGGGCCTTCCTGAGACACATTCAGAGAGGGATCAGAGAGAAAGGAGAACCATCCAGGAGAGCCACAAGCACCCACCAAACAGTGTCTCAAGCCTCACCTGAAACTGCTGTTCTTCCTGTCAGCATACTAGTATTAAATGGGTGTTCCATAACGAGAAGAATGGAAATGAAATACGTACAAAGGCATCTAGCTTAGGACCAGAATCGGATTTCAGCATGTGAAGGAATCCCAGAGCTGATCTCATTGAAATGATTTATTGTACAGACAAGGATATGCAAATCCACAGAAGTGAAGGGATTTTTGCTCAAGATCACATAGCTGGTAAACTAAGGTAAAGTTAGGGCTTGAACTTGGGCCTTCTGACTCCTTGTCCAGTGTTCTTTCATCTCACCACAGCTGCCTCCTTTGAAACAGAGGTATTAAGATCTATCCTTCTGGTTCACCCTCTCATACCTCTTTACTGCCTCTCCCACATCCCCCACATGCCCCCAAAATGAAAGACGAACAGGATTTTTTCTTAGACCAAGATCAGTCTGTTGATCAGCCTGTGGTTCACCCAGCCATGCAATTAAGGGCAGACCTGGGCCAGTGGAATAGAATAGCTGATTGGTGTTTGTTACTGTGAACCCTAGACTGTACCCCCTAGAATGGTGTCTCTTGCTTTGTAACACATCGGGCCTTCAGCGTGCTGTATTCCTCAGAAGTGAGGGCATCTCTGTCCATTCTGCCCATGGCCAGAGGGTGCAGAGAGGCAGCAGGGCCCATGCAAGCTGCCACCCTGGGATTTGCTGGGCTGGAGTTCAACAGATGTAAAGACTTCGGTGAAGCAATAAACACAAAACTCTGGGAGAAGATATCCAGAATTTTGTGCACTACTCTGTTTCTTTTTCAAAAATGAGGCAGATCAGATGTCCCTGAGCTGCCCCTTTTTTTTTGATTCCCCACTGCAGTGTCCTCAGTCAGTGTTGTCCCTCTGCCCGGCTCCCCAGCTCTTTGCCAACCTCTTCACACTCCCCTTGAGCTGAGCATCAGTCACCTGTGACGTGGCCACCTTCTGTCCTGCTCCCACTCCCGACCCATGCTGGACCCCGGAGGACCTCCTGCCCTGCCCCTACCACACACCCATATCCCCCACCATTCCAATTTGTTCTTTCCCGTGCGGAATTTTTTTCCCCAACGTCTCCATCCATTCCTACATATCCACACACGCACAAATTGGTCTGATCTTTTTTCCATTGGTTAAACATTTAACTCCATGCCAGACCTTGTTTTAACCCCTCTCACATCATGTTCTTTCCTTTTTTGCGAGTTATTTTGCATTAACCAACTTTGTCAGTGACAGATGCGTATCTGAGGGTGTCACGCACGACCTTCAGCAGGGAAGACTTCTGGGCCATGGAGGACCGTCTAATACATGGACTTATAAACTGACTGCATGAGCAATGAAAAGGCCAAATTATTCTGAATTTTTTTTTGAATCACTGTAAAAAAACTGATTTCTTTTGTATAGAGAACACTAAACGTATAATAAAAGTTGTTCAAAATGTACTCTTGCCGTGTGATTTGCTCATTTTCTTGATTTGTTCTTGTTAGTGGATAGGAGAGGGATGTCAAAGGGCTGATGGCAAAAGTGGATCAAAGGGTTTTTCATGGGTGCCAGACAGCACACTCTTCCAGAATTCTACCATACCATCCCCCCTCTAGAAGTTGTCCTTACTCTGGAAGACTCACTTGCACAATTTGTGTTTTAAACATAGTGTGACTGGTATAGGAATGTGTAATGTGTACAGTCGTGGAGACACCCTCTGATTCAACGTGATGAGTGTGCACATCCACCATTGAACAAGTGCCATGCTAGGGAAGCTGGGAGAATGAGAGAAATCTGCCATGATGCCCCGTCTCCTATCCTTCTGCACCGCTTGCCCTTAGATCGAATGTCAGCGTATGCCCAGCATTGTGCCTGGCACAAGGTAGACATTTCATATTGTTGAAAGAATAAATAAAACAGCTTACTACAAACCAAAAACTCCTCTCAGTAGACTCAAAGGAATCTTGACCAGCAACCAAATAGGGGCCTGGCACGGTGGCTCACACTTGTAATCCCAGCACTTTGGGAGGCTGAGGTGGGTGGATCATTTGAGGTCAGAAGTTTGAGATCAGCTTGACCAACATGGTGAAACCCCATCTCTACTAAAAATACAAAAAAAAAAAAAAAATTAGCTGGGTGATGTGGCACATGCCTGTAGTCCCAGCTACTCTGGAGGCTGAGGCAGGAGAATCACTTGAACCCAAGAGGCGGAGGTTGCAGTGAGCTAAGATCGTGACACTACTCTCCAGCCTGAGCAACAAAGTGAGACTCCATCTCAAAAACAAAAAAAGGAAAAGAAAAAAGACAGAGGGGGCCGTGCTGATTGAGAGGCAGTGCCTGGCTCTCTCCATGTCCCCTGGATAGCACCACAACATATCCGTAGGTGTGCTGGTTCTCACTGAGGAGTGGCCAAAGAGCCTCACCCAGGCAGGATACGACATGAGGGACCCCCAGACATTGTAACCTCCGCCCTCCCTTTCCTGGGGGGGTGTGGAGGTTGGAGTGAGCACTAAGAGGTGGTTCTGCTCTTGTAGAAAGTTAACGGATAGTTTCTAGGAATAGGCTATAATGGGGAATGAGGGCAAATGAATTCCCCTAAAAATGCAGACCCAAGTCTCTGACAAAGAACCACCGAGTAACTGTCCAACCCACCTGTGTTTACTCTTCCTTCAAAGTCCTCAGAACAGACAGGGTGGGTGCAAAAAAGAAAAAAAAATGTCCTCAGAACGGATCATTGACTTGAGGGATTATTGCTTAGGCTAAAATGGGACCTTATTTCCAGGTCCAGCTCCTCCTGAATTGTTGGGTAACTCGGGGAAGTCACACACCTCTGAACCTCCCTCTTTACTCCTTGAAATATGAGAAAGAATCTTTCTCTCTCTCTTTTGTTTCTGAGGGGTTTTTTGTTTGTTTGTTTTGAGACAGGGTCTTCCTCTGTCACGTAGGCTGGAGTGCAGTGGTGCAATCACGGCTCACTGCAGCCTCGACCTCCCAGGCTCAAGCTATCCTCCCACCTCAGCCTCCCGAGTAGCTGGGATTATAGGCACCCACCACCATGCCCAGTTAATTTTTTTTGTATTTTTTCTAGAGACAGGGTCTCGCTATGTTGCCTAGGCTGGTCTCAAACTCCTGGGCTGAAGCCATCTACCCTGCCTTAGCCTGCTAAAGTGCTGGGATTACAGGCCTGAACCACCGCGCCTGGCAGGAATATCCTTTCTCATCATTCTCAAGTTCACACGCTGTCTTTGAAATTTATCCCTCACATCCATATGCACTGTCTCACCCTTAGTCCAAGCTCTCGTGGCCTGAATTGAGTGTTCCTGCTTCCTGTGTTGCCTACTCCCTCACGAAACTGTAGCCAGAGGGAGCTTCTAAAATACAAATCTGATCGTGTCATTCCTTTACTTGAAACCTTCATTAGCTACATTAGATAAAATCTAAACTCCATGATTTGGCATGTTAGACCTTTGGTGATCTGACCCTCACCTCTCCATCCTCATTTTTTCACCACTCCCCACAAGTACCCCAAATTCTATCCATTCCAACTATTTCCAGCTTTCCCTGACAGCAAAAAATTCTCACACTTCCCAGGGTTTTCGATTCAATTCAAAAGTATGTATTAACAACCTACTCTGTGCCAATTAACAGCATAAGATAAGTAGAAATCCCAGACTGTCATGAGAGAAAGTCAAGTAAACAAAAGCAACATTAGAGTGTCTTGGGCAAAGGGCTCAATAAATATGGGCTCAATGGATAAATTATGGCCCAAAGGTGGGTCTGCCTGACACACTCTTCTCTTGACCTTCCACACCACTCCCCAATCCTTCTCGGTTCTTCCTCCTCTTCTTCTCCTTTCTCTTTCCCATTCCAAGCCCCTCTAGGCCCTTTTCTCCTTACAGGCCGTTCCTCCGAGACTCCTTGAAGGCAGCTCAGGGAACACTGTCTGCCCTAACAGCCCTGCACACACACACACACACACATGCACACACACACACACACACACATTTGCAGTCTGGTTTAGACCCCCTCACTGTGCCCCTAGAGCACCTATTTTATGTCTAATGGGGTCTGGGATATGACGTTCATTGTCTTTTTCTTTTTTTTTTTTTAATGATAAGGTCTCATCTGTTACCCAGGGCTGGAGTGCAGTGGTACTATTACAGCTCTCTGCAGCCTCAAACTCCTCAGTTCAAGCAATTCTTCCATCTCAGCCTCCCACGTAGCTGGAACTACAGGCACTGCCACTTATGCTCGGCTAATTTATTTTATTTTCTATAGAGATGGGGTATCACTATGTTGCCCAGGCTGGTCTTGAATACCTGGCCTCAAGCAATCCTGCCACCTCGGCCTCCCAAAGCCCTGAGATTACAGATGTGAGCCACTGCACCCGGCCTCATTATCTTTCTTTCACTAAACTGTGAACATCCCCAGTACAAAAGACCAGTTTTTCACCTGCATCCACAGTTAAGTGCTCGGCGCGTAGCAAGTGCCAACTGAGGGACAAAATGAATGAATATGAATACATGAATGAGACAACATTCCTTTGAAAAATACTGGCCGGGTGAATTCAAGCTTTTCATATCATCCTCTTTGGATACTGGATTCTTGGATATGACACGTGGGGGCAATCCATCAGCTAAGTTTCTAGAATAGGCACCTCCACTCGATGGAACGGAAGTGGAGAGATGAGGCAAGCGTGTTGTTTGAAGAAAGCCAACCTCGATGCAACTGAGGCCAGACAAAGAGCCCGCCTCTCTTCAGAGCCCCAGGGACCCACCAGAGTATCTGTCATCCCTGAGTCTCCTGAAGGCTGCACCTCCCAGCCCATTAGAAATGCTAATCTCCAGCTTGGAGTGGGATTAGCAGGCCCAGTGGGGAGGGCACAGGCCATCTTCCCATCTTTATTAAGAGTGAAGGCTGTGCCCCCTTCTGCCCAGCTGCCCACAAAGGGCTGGAATCTGGGAATTCATTACAGCCTTTCTCATCAAGGAGGTCTCTCCTGTCCAACATTATTTTAGGTGGAGAAAGGCGGGGGAGGGGGACCCATTTCAGCATCCGCCTCCCCACTTAATGCATCAGAGCCCATTTGTTTGATGTCAGTTTCTGCTGGAGCACCGACCAAGCAGCGGGCCTCAGAGCAATTTGGAGCCACAGCTGTGGCCCAACAGCCCAGCCCCCAGATCCCAGCCCCCAACCCTCACTCCCATTCCCACCCCAGAATTTGCTGCTGATTAGCCCCAGCCACACACTCCCTCCTTCCACACCCTCCCCACCACCACCAAGAAGCATGCCTTTGTGTAGACCTGGGTCTCGGCTGATTCTGCACACAGATCGTCAGCCCTGGCTGGAGTTCACTGGAAACTCACCTCACCCACACTGAACCCAAACAAGAGTTCTGACTGCTCAGCTTTGTGCAGAGACCACTGCAGAGAGTGAGCACCTAGAGGACAGGGATTCTCCCACACTGAAACAAACACACACAAGGACATCTCCTGTGCTTAAAACCCCATCTGCCCTCTCAAAAGGCTGAATCCTAGTACATGAAGGGTCCAGGCTTGATCTGGATAGAGAGGTTGCAGATAGCATCTGGGGAGAGCTTTGCATAATAGAGAGGGCGAGATTTTGGATCTCCAGGGCAATCCAGGGGGCAGCAAGTGAGGAGCAAGAAACAGCAGAAGGGAGATTAGAGGAGTGGTTCTCAAAAGGTGATCCCTAGACCGGCAGTATCAGAACCACCTGGGAACTTGTAGAAATTCACATTCTTGGCTGGGCACAGTGCCTCATGCCTGTAATCCTAGCACTTTGGGCGGCTGAGGCAGGTGAATCACTCGAGGCCAGGAGTTCGAGACCAGCTTGGCCAACATGTTCAAACCCCGTCTCTACTAAAAAACACATTATTGGGCCTCAACCCAGATTTACTGTATCAGAAACTCTGGGATTTGCGTTCTCACAAACCCTCCAGGTGATGCTGATGCAGACATCATACTTGAGGCCCCCAGATGAGAGGGACACACTGAGAAAGCTGTGTATGCCTGGATGTGACCCTTCTTCAAGTCCCCCGAATTGGCAATCAAGCCTACTACATTTGTGAATTTGCTTCTTGTGAATGGATGTTTTATGCAAGCTAGCAAAGTTGCTGGATTTTACATCCAAAGTGATGCGGGGCATAGAGACTGCAGAAGAATAGAGGGACCAGAGCATGAACCAACTCCCAGGAATTAGCAAAATTTGCAAGGGGGGCTTGGACTTTCACAGTCCATGGAATTGGCAGGGAACTGAGCTGTTTATACATTGCTGTCAAAGAGGCAAGAAGGCAGCAGATGGTATTTGGGTCACAACACATTTACATTTAAGTGACTTAAGAGGAGAAGGGAAATGAATATTGTTGAAACCAACTGCGTGAGGCACAGTGATGTGCACTTTATGCAAATGCTCTCTTTTAGCTTGCACACCAGCCCTT